ATAAAATACTGGGAAATAAAAATTCTTTTACCCAAAACTCTAATCATGTTATTACGGTTTTTCAAATTCTCATAAGTATTGGTAATTTGCCATCACAATAGTTAAAATAAATTCTTATTTATTCCCTGGTTGACTTGGCATACTATTAGTTTCCTGATAAAGGAAGTAAAAAGGCCCATATGCTTGGGAGAACAATCAGAGGCCTTAGAGTCAAACTGAACTGGGTTCAAATCTGGATTCATTCCCTTCGATCTGGAGCAAGTCCTCTAACTTCTGATTATTTCCACATTTTTGAAATGGTGATAACTTCACAGGGTGTTATGAAGATCATATGATAAAATAGACAGAAAAGGCTGAGCTCAGTCTCTATGTTATTCCTAAACTACCCACAGGGTGGGCCATCTTTTCAGCTTAAAACTTTCCTGGATGAGCAGGCAAGAGCTTTACTGAGCAGTTGAGTCCCTGTGGGTCTCACGGAGATGGGCTGAGGGTGGAGGACATAGGCAGAGCAGGCCTAAAAAGAGTCAAAGATTGAAATCCTATTCATAAAACCAGGTATTTAGTAACTCTTTAGAAAAGATGACAATGGCCTTTACTGATAAAAATTTATGTTTCTAGGGGCACCTGGGTGGCTCAGATGGTTGGGCATCTGCCTTTGGCTCAGGTCATGATTCCAAGGTCCTGGGATCGAGCCCCACATCGGGCTCCTGTCTCAGCGGGGAGCCTGCTTCTCCTTCTCCCTCTGCCTCTCTCCCTGCTCATGCTCTCTCTCTCTGTATCTCTGTGTCTCAAATGAATAAATAAAATCTTTTAAAAAAAATAAAAATAAAAAATAAATAAAAAAATTTATGTTTCTAAAATGAAACAACCACTGGTAAAAAAGTGAGTTCGGTAAATAGGTGACTTTCTTCCCTGCAATAAATGCATCACATAAAATACCATAAACACTAGGAAAATCATTGATCACCATGAAACAAGCAGACAAATAGCAATTATTCAGCATAATTCTAATCAGCCATCATAATTCTTTCCATGTGGACCATCTATATAAATCTCTGTAATAGGTTTCTATGGGTACCATAACATATTACCACAAATTTAGTGGCTTAAAACAACACAAATTGAGGGGTGCTAGGGTAATGCCGTTGGTTAGGCATCCCACTCTTGGTTTCAGCTCAGGTCATGATCTCAGGGACCTGGGATCAAGCCCCACATTGGGCTCTGTGCTTAGCGCAGAGTCTGCTTGGGATTCCCCCTGCCCCTCCCACTCGTGCTCTCTCTCTCTCTCTCTCTCTGAAATAAAATACATCTTTTTTTAAAAAACACACAAATTGATTATTTTATAGTTCTGTAGGTAAGAAGTCCAATAACGAGTGCACTGGGCTAAAATCAAGGTGTCAATAGGGCCATACTCTTTCTGCGGGTTCTAAGGGAGAGTTTGTTTCTTTGCCTTCTCCAGTTGCTTATAGCCCCTTCTGCCATCTTCATAGCCCGCAACAAGAGGCATTCCTTCTTACATTACATCACTCTGACTTCCTCTTCTGCCTCCCTCTTCCACTTTTAAGGATCTTTGTGACTACACGGGGCCTACCCAGATAATCCACTGATTTTAAAGTCAACTGATTAGTAATACTTAATTCCACGTACAACCTGATTCCTCCTTGCCAGGTAACCCCACATAGTCACAGGTTCTGGGAATTAGTAAGCATTATTCTACCTACCATAATCTCTAAGGAAGATCACCTCTGAATCATATACTATTAATCTCTGGCTGTAAATAATATACTCACACATACTTTATTCATTCTCTTCCAACGATTCAAAAACAGTGGAGTTCTTCCAGCAACTTTAGCAAAGGTGTTTCCATTTGATTTAACAAGAGCAGAAAGAGACAATGCTCTGACAGTAAGAGTTACAGAACCAAAATCATTCCTGTTTATACTAGGCAGTGGAATTTTATTTTCTCTGATATCAGGCTTCCTTTGGCTACAGGAAAAATAAGGTATCAAAATTTAATATCCATGTTAACAAACCATAAATGGCTGTCTTCACACACCCCTGTAATCTACCATACTATTCAGTCCTTTTTGCATTTAGAACTTGCTATATTGCCAAAGAGAAAAATATATCTTGTGTTAGCAATAAGTCAGAGTGATGAATTAGAAAGTGAAGCATAGTGTGGTTGGGATCTGAAAGCACAGAAACTGTGGGTTGAATCTTTTTCTTAATAGACTCATCTAAACAGAATATTTATGATTTCAAGCCTAAATACCACTACACATAAAAATATTTGATTGCAAAAAATAAAAAATAAATACTTGGTTGCTTAACTTCATTAGAAAAATGAAAATTATGTAGAATGTCACTCCCCAAGAACATTTTAGAAAACTATTGTTAAAGTTTTATGTAAGTGCGTTGTCTAGATCAAGAGATGTAGATTAAAGGGGTCTGGAGCCCAGGCAGGTCACAGAAATAAGGGGGTGAGGCCAGGTGGGCACTGGGTATACTAGTGCCTTTGGTGCCCCATCTGAAGAGGTCAACCACCACTCAGCTCTAACAGCTGCTTTTTGGTTCATAAGATTGTCTGACATTTTTATAAGTCAGAAAATATAACTTTTACGTGGAAACATTCATATTTTCAAGACTGGCAACTTAACACTATACTGCAATCCCTTGACAGAGCAATAAAACAAAAGCCATGGACCAAATTTAGCTAACCAGCCAGTAGTTTGCACCTCTGAATCTAGATCAGCCAATCCTTGGTAACTACCTGATATTTTACTTGATAAAATCAAGAGTGGTATAATTTATTGTCTAATTGGATGCAAACATCAAAACCTAGAAGAAAAATGTGCATATACAGATAAGGTAAAGAGCCTTAGCATGCACCTAAGGGGTTCTTTATTCCTTATTGGGAATCGATTATGCCTTATGTTTTGTTTGTTTTTTTTAAGATTTTATTTATTTATCTGTCAGAGAGGGGAGAAGAGAGAGCGTCCAAGCAGGGGGAGCTGCAGACAGAAGGAGAAGCAGACTCCCCGCTGAGCAAGGAGCCGGATGCAGGACTCAATCCCAGGACCCTGGGATCATGACCCGAGCCAAAGGCAGACGCCCAACCAACTGAGCCACCCAGGCATCCCATGCCTTATGTTTTGTTATGGCCCCAGCACATAGCATAGTATCTGTCACAAAATAGGCTTTAAGTAAGTATTTGTTTAATTAATGAATAACTGAACTTTAAAGATAATTTTGATTACTCGGAGGCTTATACTCATACTTGTTAACATAAAGGAGTAGTGACCTAGCCTTAAAATGTGGGGTTGGCTTAGAAAGCAAGAACCCTTGGGGTGCCTGGGTGGCTCAGTTGGGCATTGGACTCTTGATTTCAAACTCAGGTCATGATCTCGGGTTCATGAGATTAAGTCCCGTGTTGGGCTCCACACTCAGCATGGAGCCTGCTTGGGATTCTCTCTCTCCCTCTTCCTCTGCCCTTCCCCCCACCTCATGTGCATGCACATGCATGCGCATGCTCTCTCAAAAAAGAAAAAAAAGAAAGAAAAGTAAGAACCCTTAATATTTTCCATATTATCAAAAGATATATATATATATTCTAACAATTGTTATGTTGCACTGACCAATAAGATCTTTTATAATATAATGGGGCAAAGCCAGACTTTAACTTGAAACTATAATGTAACAACAACCCAAATCAAGTATTTGTATGGTATTTTTATGTTACAAAGTGCTTTCAATATGTGATTTCTCTTATCACCAGAACATTTCACTAAGGTAGACGGATATTATCTTCATTTTAAAGATAGAAAACTTGAACTACAAAGGAAGCTAAGTGATTTTATAAAGACGTGCAGAAAATTAGCTATAGAACTGAACTTAATCTTTCAGCCCATGATCATTCTCTCCTGATAAGGAGACAGCATGGGGTGTGACAATAAAGCATAGAATCAGATGAATTAAATATGTGCAATGGCACCTTCATAAACAGGTTGGGAAGGAAATTACCTCTGTGTGGCACAGAAGAGGAAGGCAAGAATGTGCATAGAAGGAAAGTATAACATTTTTCAAGATGGTGTGTAGACATCAGGATACCTTATTCATCATGACACCAGTTGCATGTTGGTTAAATCATTCAGCAAAATGAGACAGATCAGCTTGACCTGTATTGTTTCACTTAGAAACACACTGCTCTGTAATATTTTCATTTCCTATATATATTTGTCTACCCTACTAGAGTGGAAATGTCATGAAGGCCAGAGGCTAAGACATATTAAGAGTTCTTAGGCACTCTACCCAGAAGAAATTAATTGAATGCTTTGATTGGTTAATGGGAAACATAAATATTGGTGATAGTGGAGCATAATGCTTAAGAACACAGGACTTGAAGTCAGTAGATCTGTGTCTGAAACCATGTTTCATCAATGTCTAGCTGTGCAAATTTGGGTGAGTCACTCCACCTCTATGAGTCACATTGTCATCTGTAAAGAGGGTGACAGTGATGAAACTGAACCATAAGTTTGCAGTGAGAATTAAATAAGTTAATGTTTGTAAAAACCAGCAGGATAGTGGGTACCCGACATACACTCAATAAATGTTTCACTATTGCAACAGACTGAAGTTTCAAGTTCGGCAAAGTGCTGGAGCTTCATGCTGATCTCTGTAGTTTTGAAGAAGGAACATTTGGTTGGTTCTCAAAAACAAAGTTAGACGCTGAGAGAACATCTTTTAAAGTGACCCAGAATGGGGACGCCTGGGTGGCTCAGTTGGTTAAGCGTCTGCCTTCGGCTCAGGTCATGATCCCAGGGTCCTGGGATCGAGTCCCGCATCAGGCTCCCTGCTCTGCGGGGAGCCTGCTTCTCCCTCTGCCTCTGCCTCTCTTTCTCTCTCTGTCTCTCATGAATAAATAAATAAAATCTTAAAAAAAAAAAAGTGACCCAAAATGTATCTTTAAAACAAACTTTTAATTTATTCCACATGCCATCTGGAATATAATAATACAACAAAGACGAGAAAGGCCCTGATGCAGCGTGCCTTACCATCCGTACACAGGATTACAAACAGAACCAGTTTGCAGACACAAGCTCACTGACGGAACAAACCGGGTGGCATGTCATGTTTATGGAGGACTGAACACCTGAGATTTGGCTGGCCATGGGGGAGCCATTCCAAAGAAGGAACAGGTGCAGTACTATTTGGAGTAATTTTCCTTGTTTCTAGAAAGAAACAGATATTTCACAAATTTATTATCTTATCAAAGTCCAGCCACTTTTTTTTTCCCAGTGTGTACTTGTGCTTAGCTCTTTCATTGTGCAAGGTATGTTTTCAGACCCTAATTGCTCCTATGCACAGGCCAAAGGAATGCAGTGGTAGAAGTACATTAAAATGAGGAAAAGGACTGCTAATTTCTTAAAAGGGAAATGACACATATGGAATGATCTCTATCATACCCAGAGCGATATTTTTATGAGAGAAAACTAGAGCCAAGCAACTGAAACGTTTTCTACCCAAAAGTAGCAGGAAAAAAATGAACAATCACAGAGCAAGTACCACACAACAATTCAGAAGAGAATTTAATGCCAAAAGAAGGTAATAAACTACTCCACTGACACTTCTCCTTTTGTGTCTTTACTATTTATAGAATCCAATTCATGCAACCTGAAAACCTCTGTGAAGTAACACTTTGAACCCCGAATTTTCAGTTCTGGGGCTCAAGCAGAGGAATGCCAGCCAAGCTCGCCTAACACAACCAGAGGGACCAACTCTTCGAAGTCACAGATGTTGACTCAGAGAACATCCTCGGTTTCTCCTCTGCTTCCCTGCGGGCCTGGGTTAAATTCCAAGGGCCTGGGAGACTCCACCATTGCAATCTCCTCTCCCAGCCTCGCGTTCCCTTCCTTGGTCTCCTCGTGGATCGTGCGTGGCAGGCAGTCCTGCTCCGAATTACTCCAGACATAGCCGGGTAAAGTCATGTGGCTGTCGGGCTGGCGGCCGGCCGTCCTGGTGGTTTTGCCTGCGATGAGCACCAAGCGAGCGCTGGCTGCCCCCTGCGACTGGCTGCTGGTGCTGTGGGTGAACGTGGTGAGCACGGAGCCGTATCTGTGGCCGCCGCAGGGGGGCGCCCTTTTCCAGTCGATGGAGAGATTCCACCGACTCCACAACTTCTTCACCTCAGCCTGAACCTAAGTCGCAGGAAACACTGTGCGTCAGAAACCATCAGGGAGACCCTGCAGCCTTGTTACATGGACCTTTGCCCTTCAGTGATGCTGATCACTGAGTTTCCACTGTGTGCCAGCGACTTGATGTGCATACTCTCTCTCAACCTTCAAAAATCTTGGAGATAGGTATCCTACCAGAGATGAATAAACGGAGGCTTTGAGAGAGCTGAAGGACTGATCCAAGATTAGCATTTTAATATAATGTGAAATGCAGCCCATAGAAACATCTGACTTGGGGCGCCTGGGTGGCTGGGTCCGTTAAGCATCAGACTCTTTGTTTCGGCTCAGGTCATGATCTCAGGGTCCTGGGATAGAGCCCCCTGGTGGCTGGGCGCTCAGCCGGGAATCTGGGGATTCTCTCCCTCTTCCTCTGCCCCTACCTCCACCCTGCTCGCGATCCATCTGTCTCTCTCAAATAAATAAATCTTTTTTAAAAAGAAAGAAAGATCTGACTTGTGGGAGAGGGAAAAGAGGATTATGGGTTGGAAGAGAAGGAGAGATAAATAGTGCCAGCCCGCTGAAGAATGGCATGGAAGTGCTCAACCTGAAATGTAATACTATCACTTTTGCATAGGCGGACTGAAGGAGGAAAAAAATGGGGAAGAAGCTTATACATGAAAAGCAGGCACTGCAAATGCATTACTAATGGGGTGGGATTCTTGCTTCCAACCTGTGGTTGAAGATTCAATTCTACTGCTATTGCCATTTACCAAAAAGGAGCTTATCTGGAAGTTCCATGGAAAACAGTGGAAATCTGGTATGCTGGTGTGACCTAAAAGAACAGTAGGGCTACTTCTCTCCAGCCAACCCCTAAATGAACGGAAAGCGTCCTGTCATCATTGTATAGTTTTGAAAATATCAAAATATTCTTTCTTATCCCAAGACAACTTTTTTTTAGTTTCTTAGAGAACTTGAAATTGAATATCAGTTTAAGTATTGACTGGAATATGGAATTCACTGTCCTTCCAAGTATCAATTTACATTCCAACAAGTTGGTTTTTTGCTATCAGAGTTTCCAACTGAATCAACATTGAAAAGTGCTAGAAGAGAAAAACTCTAGCCTATTTATATTAATTCTTGCTCTCTCAAAATCATGTATGATTGAAATATCTCCTTTCTCCCTGCTCACTTTTTCCTGTAATTCCTGGGGATCCTAAAGAGATTCAGGTCACACCGCGATGACCATTTACAAGCTTACTCGCAGCTAGAGCTGTGGGATGTCCGGGGGGGTTCTTCAAACCTACCTCCCCGTTGCAGTAGCAGTAGATGATAGACACAAAGAATCCCTGGGGAACAAAAGAGAAAGTTAGCATGCTGACAACTCAAGAAGGTCACAGCACTGAAGTGTCTTATATCACAATACATACATTGCAAAACTGGGTTGTGTTATGCTTCCTTCAGAAAATTATATGAACTGTTCTCTCCTGGTGTTTCCAAATCTTTAAGTTTATATTTTTCTGAGATCCTTCTTTGGTGTCAGCTGAACCAAACAAGTAACTGAATAAAACACTCCAAGACACACAAATAACTGATTTCTTATCAGCTTATATTAGCTTCATTTATGTTTTCACTCAAGGATCACAGAATATTCCCTGGTTGGTAAGAGATATTTATACACTGTGAATGCTGGAAACTACAGACATAGGCTATTATATGGTAAAAAGACAAAGAAACTTTTTGTTTCACTCATTCAAAAATATTTATGGAGCTTCTACAGGGCAAACTGCTCAGCATGCCAGGGATAAACAATTCAATCAAGACAGACAAGGTCCCTGTTCCCTTAGTCTACATTCTAGAAGGAAATACAGATGATGGATAAAATATAAACAACTAGCCACACTAGAAAAATGTAAGATAATAAGGGTTATGCAGGCCAAACAAGTGGTATGAAAGAGAAGAATGGAGAAGATACATTGAATGAAGACTGAGTTGAAGAGATGACCATTTAAGCTGGTTTGAGTGAAAAGAAGCCAGGCCTTGTGAATATTAGCAGGGAGCGCCTTCCAGACTAAGGGAACTGTAAGTCCAAGCCCCTGAGGCAAGAATGAGCTCGAGGGACACTAGTGGGGCTCAAACTTAGCCGGCAACCGGGAACATGATGGCACTCGACGTCACAGCTGGACAGGGTCCCTGCCACAGGGGGCTGGGCGCACCAGCAAATGGCATTTGGATTTTATTCTGAGTGCAGTGGGAAACCTCTGGGTACTTCTGGTAGATAAGGGACATGACCATATTTATTTTTAAGATCCTTCAGACCCTTGTATGGAGACGAGATTTAAGGCAGCCATGGGAGGCGGCAAGCGAGTGGCCAGGAGGAGAAGATAGGTGTCTGCAGAGAGCCAAGTGAGGGGTGATGGTAATCATATTTTCAAATGAGATAAAATGGGTAGAAGCTACCTTTTCTTCTTTGTTGTCTTCCTTTCTCTTTTTCCCCCCTCTCCCCTGTCTGCTTTTTCTTTGGCTTTCGTTTATTTTCCATAGACACGCGCTGCTCTGTACGTGTTACATATTCTACAACAAAATGCTTTCTTGTCTCGCTGTCCAGGCATGGTTTGTGAGAAGCAGCTCCTGCTGTGGCCAGAGGTTAAAAGCACAGGGTCCATAGAGTATTGCCTTTTCATGGCCCTCTGGGGACAGGTCCATGAAAGCCAGACAGAGGGGCAGAGAACAAAGTTGCAAGGGGAGGGGGAATAAAAGCAGAATGCAAGAACCACATTACTAGCTGGCGCTGTCTACCTGAAAGGAATTGAAGAAGAGCTCACAGTGCATCCGGACCTGCCAGCCCAGCCCCGTGAAGGAATGGGGCAGGCACAGGAACACGATGTAGTGCACTCCAAAGACCAGCACGAGGACCAGGGTTGATTTGGCCAGTTTCCTGAAAGAGAATACCAAGCCTTTTTATTCATCAACTTTGAGTGCCTGTCAGCAGAGACAGCTTGCTGGGAAAAAAGCGAAGCTTAGCAGAGCTAATGGGGGCTGCATTTTTTTCCATCTCTTTGGACCCCATGGCTCCTGCTAGCTTTTCCCCCCTCCCTCTTCTTCCTGTCCTTTTATACTAAATCAAGTCATTTATTCTCATTTCCCATGATTATTGTACCTTAAATCTTTCTTTTTTTTTTTTTTTAAGATTTTATTTATTTATTTGAGAGACAGAGAATGAGAGAGAGAGAGCATGAGAGTGGGGAGGGCCAGAGGGAGAAGCAGACTCCTTGCTGAGCAGGGAGCCCAATGCGGGACTCGATCCTGGGACTCCAGGATCATGACCTGAGCCGAAGGCAGTCACTTAACTAACTGAGCCACCCAGGTGCCCTGTACCTTAAATCTTTCTAATCTCATTTCCACTCTCCTGGCATAGGATACTATTTTCATAAAGCCATGAAATGCCCTTTTTTCTGTCCTAAATTTATTTTAACATGTATGTTTGAGACTTAAAACAAGTATTACCTCAATCCATGTTAACTGTCTTTACTTTCATAGGCCACATTTTGGCTTGTTTTGTTCATTTTAAAATGAACTACTCCATAGTCTCTTCTTACAGTTGGATCTGCATTAACCATTTTGTATTTTCTTATGAACTTCATGTGGCCAATACTTTCTACTTTCTCTAAATATCCTCTGTCAAATATTCTACAAAATACCTATAGTTCTAGGTTTTGTGCTTTTTTTTTTTTTTTGCAAGCTAAGCAATTTGACTTTATTTCCCTTAACTACCTCTTCATATACATTTTCTTGTGTAACTGGAGGAACCCCAGGTTTCTAAGATGATTGATTCTAAAATGGTCCCCAATGATCCCCCACCTGGTATTTACATTCTTGTTAATCCTCTCCCCTTGAGTGCAGGCAAAGACCTGGACCTTGCTTCTAACTGATAAATTACAGCCAAAATGATGGGATGTCACTTCTGTGATTACATTTCATAAGAGTGTAACTTTCATTTTACTAACAAACTCTCTCCTTTGTTTGGTTCGAGGAAGCAAGTTAACCATGTGGTGAGCTAGTGGGAGAGATGACAAGGAGAGGGGACATTGGCCACCAGCCAGCAAGAAACTGAACTCTGTCAACAATCTCATAAACTTGGAAGTGGATTCTTCCCCAGTCTTAGGATAAGACTGCAGTCCTGACTGCCATATCAGTTGAGCCTCGTAAGAGATCCTAAAGCAGGAGGCCCAGCTAAACCGTGCCCAGATTCCTGACCTACAGAAACAGTTAAATGGCGAGTGTGTTGTTTTAAGCCACAGATGTTTGCGGTAATCCATTTGCACAGCAGATAGCTAGTACATCCAAGCACACCATGTGTTCTTTTGTACTTTTTATCCAAGAAGCTGTCAAATCTGGCTGATTCTTTCTTATTTCTCAAATATTCCCTTCTTTACAAATCATTTTTACCTCAGTAATCTCAATTGCAACCTTCTCCCTTTCTTACTGGTCTTACTTCCAGCTACTTTTCTTCCTTCCTTCCTACCTTCCTTCCTTCCTTATTTATGTACTTACTTATATACTTAGTTCTCTTCTTGGAAATAAGCTGTGTGGGTGAAGCTAAACAGAAATGGATTCGGGTTCTAGATTTGCCAGTGACTCCCTGAGTGATTGTAATTCAGTTTTCTTTTTTCTAAAATGAGGGAACAGGGCCTAGAAGTTTATAAGAGCTCTCAGTCTAACGCTTTCCTAGGGAGGATCATCTTCCAGACACATCCATTTTCCTATTATAACCATCTTCCCAGCTCCTGCAGGAGCTGGGTGTCCCACAGAATCATATTGAAATGCCTAATTTAGGCATTTGGAGTTGCACACCTACCCCATCTCATTCTCCTCTGCCTCTTGTATCTCTCAGTAGTGCCCTGACCATCTGCTCCTCTTGGCTCAGAGCCATCTGCTCTGCCCCACACCCATAGTTTCCCTGGTGGCCTATGGGCTTTCTCCTATGCTGCTCTAGTCCCACACCTCCTACCTTGACTCAACTATAGTCTACTTAATTTGAAAATTCGACCTTAAGTCTGTTTCATTCAAGGCAGCATCCCTGATAAGACAATGGATTTCTCTGACCTAACTCATCCTTTCAACTTCCAGAGGCTCCTTGGGATACGCTTGTCCTCTTGAATTCTGACTAGTGGCTACCCTCTTCCCATCACTGCATATATGAGCAAGACACTGTGAGTACCTTCATGATACTGTAATTCAGTCTAATCAGATAAAGGGGGACAGCATTAACTACACTTGCAGAACTTTAGAAGTCTTGGTTAACAGCACTCTGAAAAGAAAATTTCTTTTCTCTTTCCTCCTTTAAGATGAATGGATAAATCCCCCTGGGGACTATTCTCAAAATCAAGCTAACTTTGATTGTTCCTATTGTGTGTGACTAGGAGCCAAAAACTAGGTTAAAAGAAAGAAAGAAAGAAAGAAAGAAAGAAAGAAAGAAAGAAAGAAAGAAAGAAAGAAAGAAAGAAAGAAAAAAAAGAAAGAAAGGGAAAGAGAGAGAAGGAGGGAGGAAGGAGAAAGAAAGAAAGAAAGAAAGAAAGAAAGAAAGAAAGAAAGAAAGAAAGAAAGAAAGAAAGAAGAAAGAAAGAAAAGAAAGAAAAGGAAAGAAAGAGAAAGAGAGAAAGGGAAAGAGAGAGAAGGAGGGAGGAGGGAAGGGAGGAAGGAGAAAGAAAAAGAAAGAAAGAAAAGAAAGAAGAAAGAAACAAAGAAAGAAAGAAAGAAGAAAGGGAGGGAGGGAGGAAGGGAGTGAGGGAGGAAGGGGAGAGAGGGAGAAAGAATACAACACATTGTGAAATGATCACAAATGTAAAAGTTTAGGGACAGTTTAGATCAATGCAGAGTAAGAAAAAGCTGTCAGATTAAATTTAGTGGGAATCATGCTAGCTCAGCCATCTGGGTTTTCTCCCTCTCTTTATCTATGATTAGGCTCTTTTACAACTCTGTAGAGATAGAAGTTAATTTGTAGAAAACCAGATAGTAATTGAATTCATTTTCTATTGCTATGAAACAAATTACCACAGTTAGTGGCTTAAACCAATATCCATTTAGTCTCTCTCAGTTTCAGAGAGGTCCTAGCCATAGGTCCCTCAGGTCTTAATCACAGACCTTCACAACATGTCAGATTACTTCTTCAAAGCCCGCAGGAGGATCTCTCTCCAGGCTGCCTGTCACAGGAGTGACTACCCCATCACCTTTCCAATATAACGTAACCTAATCAAGGGAGAGACTATCCCATCATAGGTCTTGCTCAAAAGGTATGTGGGGGATGAGGATTATATAGGGCATGTACACCAGGAAGGTAGTAATCTTGGAGGTTGCATCTTAGAAATCTGCCTACCACAGCAGTGCAAATCATTTCTGTCCATAGAAATGCAAATTATGTCCAATGGAATGCCACTAATTATACCCTGTGGATGTTAACAATTTGCTAATTTGCATCCATTTGTAAATTCATTTTAGCATTCATAATTCTCTTTTAAGCATGTGTAATGCCTTACCAGTTCCTTCATTAATGAATGAAATAAAATCTTTGAGGTGTGTTCATTTATATTTGTGTAAGAGTTACGATTACATCCTCTTTTAAAATGTATCCTTCAATGACAGTGAAGAAGTTGAAGTAGTGGCATATGCTGGGCCAATGGATACATGGGTCATCTGTCTGTCAGTTCACTCATAAAGATGGATTTTTCCATTCACATCGAATCATGCAGCCATCCTGGGCACTGATTTGCTCAGCGTCCATCTGGTCACTCATGCACACTGTACATCTTTGCAGCCCGGCTCTCTGAAAAGGCACAGCTGTCTGATGAGATGATCAGGGGTGTACCAGCTGAAAGTGGCCTTCTGGCTTGCTGGAGACATGGTGGTGGCTCTGCGTCCAAGGGCAAAGCCATGGGAGGAATATAAAGGAATCAAACGGTGTGTGAGACTCAGCGTCCTACTTAGAAAATAGATACCCAATTCTTGCAATCTCTCTCTCCCCAGGTGAAAAGTGCTGGGAAATCGCTACTTTTAAGAGTCAACTTAGCTTTTTAAAAAAGTAATATTTCCCCTGAGCCTTTTTCAATCCCTCTTGAGCTTGAATTACTCTTTCCCTTTCTTCTATACACGTAACACTTTGTAAGTGCTTCTCTACTGACATTGTCCTCACTTTAATTAAATCAGTATCTCTCTCACTCTCTCTCTCAAATTTTCTTCGCAGGCAGAAACCATGTCTTCTTAACTTTGAATCTCTTGCATGGCACAAGAAGGGCACTCAGTCAGTGAAGCTGTTGGCTATCATGCCCCTGTCACATCCTATACTGGTTGCCTCCTTTTATTCTGCCAACCATGTGAGAGAGCCATTATTTTCCTACGTCCAGATGAGGATAGAGGCTCAGGAAAGGAAAGTATTCACCCAAAGCTAGACAATTAGTAGACAGTTCAACCTTAAAATCTGTCCTCTTTACTATGATATTGCATAACAAACACTGGTTGAATTTATTCCAAAAATAAAAAATAATAAATATAATTTTTGTCTAATACTGAATGGAAAGTCAAATTAGCCAAAATACTCAAGTGTTCTTTTCCACTGAATTTTGCATTTTTCATATCTCATGTTCTTCCAGTCCTGGCAATCTTCTCTTACTTTGCAAGGGGACTGGGTTGTAATTTAAAAGACAAAATAATGCATTAGTCCTGTTGTTAAATCTGATAGATTATTTAATTTTCTACACAATCTCTGTGTGTTTAAAAATCCTTTTTGTCTTAAAATTACTGATGTGAACTACAGTTATGTAGAATGTCACTTTCGAGGGAAACTGGGTAAAGGGTATATATTTTATATATTACATATATATGTATTATTTTTACAACTCTGTATTACTTGTATGTTTTATTTTATCTCTGTATTACTTTTATAACTGCATATAACTCTGCAGTTATCTCAAAATAAACAATTTCTTAAAAGCTGATCGTATTAATTCATTTCAGTCTTTTTTTAAAAGACTTTATTTATTTATTTGAGTGAGAGAGCAAGAGAGAGCCAGAACAGTGGGGAGGAGCAGAGGGAGAGGAAGAAGCAGACTCCCTGCTGAGCAGGGAGCCTGACATAGGGCTTGATCCCAGGACCTTGAGATCATGACCTGAGTTGAAGGCAATTCATTTCAGTTTCAAACCACTATATCAGTGAAGGGATACCATGTACTTTTCTAAAGTCTTTCTTTGTGTATGTGTGCATGCTCACCGGGAGAGACTATCTCAGCTTTGAAAGATGTTTTCAGTCTTTCAGAGAGTTATATGCATGAGAATGTGTTTAAAAACTGTTTTAGATGCCACCATTTGGAAATATAAATATAATATACATATATTTTTTCGTTGTTAGCAAGAATATTTGAATTTGAACATTTGTTTGACAAAGGTAATAACCAAATGAAATATAAGTTTAGAGGTACAAAAAAGTGAGTCGGTGTAAACTGAACCTCATAGATAGAATTTCACCGGGACAAAGACACAAATTACATTTTTCTAGGTCTATTTACAAAGTGAGAAGGTATTTAATTTTTTTTTAATTTTTTTTTTTTTTTTTTTTTTTTATTTGAGACAGAGAGAATGAGAGACAGAGAGCATGAGAGGGGGGAGGGTCAGAGGGAGAAGCAGACTCCCTGCCGAGCAGGGAGCCAGATGCGGGACTCGATCCAGGGACTCCAGGATCATGACCTGAGCCGAAGGCAGTCGCTTAACCGACTGAGCCATCCAGGCGCCCAGTGAGAAGGTATTTAAATTTGGTAATCTAAGGCCTCAGAAACTAAATACTGAATTGAATTCCCAAATCACTGCCAAGTAAGTACCCACATTTTTCTCTCCAAAAAGAAAGAGAGTTATTCCTCACCATAGTTTTATCTGTAGCTTAACTTCGGACATTAGTAAGAATACCGTTTCAGCTATTTAAAAAATAAATGCATTTGACTGGAAAATACTTTCCATGACTATTAGTCTAGACCCTGTTCAGATTAATGGCTCCCAAATTTAAAAACTTCCAGGCCCCAGATTATTTAAAATTTATTCTGAATTAGGAATCGTAGATTATTTTAATCCTTGATAAATGTTTCTCTTCCACTCTTTTGAGAAATAATCTCCTATGAATGAACTCAAAATATTGTCTAGTCTATTTTTTAAGATAATTCACCCTTTGTTCTCTCCAGAGTTTCTCAAATCTCTTGGGCAACTTTTAACTGAAAGTACAAGTTCACATCATTCAGAACTAGAGAAATAAGGAGCTTTTATGCAGGGCTAGAGAAATAAACAGCTTCCAAAAACCTTTGTGCTGTTCCACTTTACAGAGAAGAATGGAAAGCTATTTATATTTCCCATTGTTCTTCATCCTTTGGCCTTTGTCTTCATCAGTGGGATGCAACATGAGACAGGCTATGAGTATAGCATGGCCCTTCACTGGAAACTCTTAAGCACGATTTACTTTATAACATGACTGCTTGCAGCACTTTACAAATGACTGGAGCCTACAGCTGCTGGTTTGTTCATACTGTGCATCCTATTCCAGACTCCAGTCCATACCCATCATCTTTTCTGCCTGACAGAGAATGTTGCCTAAACAGTAGAGGGAAATGACTCAACAGAGGGTCTCGAGAACATTTGTGACACAGGACCAAAATGCTGACTATGGTTTCTTCCTTTCTGTGTCTCAGATAGCATTTCATAACAATGCAAGACAAAAAGAAATAGTTATTGCCTTGGGATTATAAAGATCAATCTAAATCCACCAGACTAATGGATGTGTATATCCAGTTAGGTAGAGGCTGCTATTATCCAGAACTCCCAAAATGATCGCTGGAAAAAGTTGGCACACCCTTAAGATAGTTCAATAATGATCAAAAACTCTCAATTTGCCCTTTTCTTCTTGGAAGACTGAATAATGGACCTCACTCAATCAGTACCTTGGAAAGCTCTTAAAAATTTATATTCGGTAGGGGCCAGTCTGATGGACAGATTGGAAACAATACAGCAAACTCACTTTCTTGATATTTTCAGTTATGAAGATATTATTTTAAGAATGCAGATAAAATTGTCTGCCAAGATCATCAACAAGAGATTTTCTAGGAAGTCACACAGTTTATGGGAAAATTCCAATATGCTAATAACAGATAAAAAAATTATATTAACTAATACTTAAAATTTAAGCACATTAAAGGTTTTGCGTTATTTATATTTTCCTAAAATACATATACTTTTCTGGTAAATTGCACAATTAAACCAAATGAAAAGTCATATTCATAGATTTCTCTCTCAGAGACATTTCAGATCAATCAATATCTGTTCTTTACTCTAAATAGTAACCCAAATATTTCCTCTGGTGGGTGCCTGTCCTGCAATTACCTGTACTGTTTTCTTGTGTCATGCCCAACTGCATTGGTCTCCCAGATTTTGGTAGCCAGAACTCTAACGGTATTCAGAAACAGAATAAAATTGAGCTGAAAGAGAAGGTAATATTACAAAGCATTATTAAGGTAGCCTTCAAGACCTTTATAAAAATTTATATAAATTGAACTTCTTTGTATTCAAAAACTGAAAATTACCTATTCCACAAATGTGAATGAGGGGCTCTGAGATAAGGTATTGGACAGCTAGTGATTCTTGAGTTGCCCTCATGAAAACATAGAGATAAAAAGTTTCAACAGCACTGGAAACTAGAAATACCAAGGGATGATCTGCCAGAATCCATGGGGAATTTCCAAACCAAAGTTCAGATAAAGTCCTGTGGCAGACTGACAGGATAAAGGATAATACTTATTATATAAATATAACCAACTCCCCTTTTTGAAATGAACTCCCAGCTTCTGTATGTATTTTAGGGAGAGGAATAATAGAGTTGTTTGGGGGACACTGTCTCTCTTATGACATATGAAAAGTATTGGGTGAAGTATAAGGTTTTTTTTGAAAAAGCAAGTGGTGGGAGGAGATGGGTGAAAGGGGATTAAGAACACACTTATCTTGATGAGCACTGAGTAACATAAGAATTGTTAAACCATTATGTTGTACACCTGAAACTAATATTAACACTGTATGTTAATTATACTTCAATTAAAAAAAATTTTTTTAAACACTTCTCAGATATATACACACACAAACAAGATGTTGTATGGGAAAAGGCCCCCAGTGCAAGCAATTAGATTGAATTTGAAATATTACAGGTGTGTGCACCCCCAGAGACAATCAAGTTCTGGTTTTAAAAATGGGGAGAAGGTGTTGGTAAGATAAGCCCTTTTATGTCTGAGGCCCTCAAGGGAAGTGAAGGGATCAAAAATGAAGAAAAAGAAAAGATCTCCAGATCCAGGGTCATGAGGAAGTAGAAGCCTGAACCACTAGAGTCCCTTTATTCAGGAAGATGTCTGCAGTCCAGAAAATGCTACTACTTAGGAATAATGGAAAAGAGGATTGTCAAGAGTAGGTTTGTGTCAGTGGGAGAGTAATAGCAGGAAGAGAAGAACCATCAAGATCTGTATTCTTGGAAATAAATCATCTTGTAGTGTTTTCAACCATTTCTGGAATTTAGAGAATTTGGGGTAATTCATGTGCCCCACTCCCTGATACAGATGATCAACTGGATCAGCCCTTAACCCCCTGCCACCTTCTTTGCCATCCTACCACTGACTATGCTGTAGGAACCTCTCACCTCTCACTAATTTTACAGCTTTCTATAGGAACCAGGGGCTGAGTCATGAATCCCAAACGTGGGAGGAAGGACAGAGGTGTGCTGTGAGCTGGTGGAAGAAGGATTCTTCAGGCTAGTAAGAGCTGCCACTTATTGAGCACTCAAGTTTAACTCACACGAATATGGGAGAAGCATTTTTATGTCCCTTTATTATGGGTGAAGAAACGCCAACTCAAAGAGATCAAGTGATTTGACCTATGCTACCCAGCTATTAGGGGAATCTGAACCATGGCTATGTGGGTCTGTACCGCGAATTCTTAACCACCACCTTACACCTTCTCTTCAGGAGGATAAAAAGATGCAAAACATGAGAGCTGAGGATCTCCATTCATCCTCACCCACTGCAACACCTGGCTCAAGACGCAAAATATTTTTCACTAAGAGGGTGAGAGCTGCTCACAGATGTCACGTGAGTGCTTCTTTCTGAATGGCCACTTACGCCATGCCCCGTTAATTCCACTCTCCCTATGACCACAGCCCCCAGCAATACAGTGCAGCTGGGATGAAATGGTGGAAAGCGATGCTGTGTAATTACTGTGCAAGGGACAAAAGGGTAGGCACTGAGGCTGGCAGTGCCATGGGAGCAGTGCCGGCTGGGGGTGTCACTGGTCAGTTCCTATCCCTGGAAAAGGAAGAATTAGAGATGGCTTCAGATGGGCCAACCCTGAACTCTATTCCTATTAAAAAGCCCATGACCAGGAACTCTGTTCTCAGGCCAGTAGACGGCACTAAATAAATACTGAAAACTGGCAGAAATTTGACTAAAGAAGATACACACATCCAATACATCAGTTTAATAACTAAGAAGATGCATTTAAGGACAGTGAAATGGATTATGGAAAGAATTAATAAAAACTAAGATTGGGTAAAACTTGCTGCCTTAGGGGCGCCTGGGTGGCTCAGTCGGTTAAGGGTCTGCCTTCAGCTCAGGTCATAATCTCGGGGTCCTGGGATGGAGCCCCAAGTTGGGCTCCCTGCTCAGTGGGGAGTCTGCTTCTCCCTCTGCCGCTCCCCCTGCTGTCTCTCTCCCTCTCTGTCAAATAAATAAATAAATCTTTAAAAAAAAAAAAAAAACCCTTGCTGCCTTAAAAGATCAGTTAACAAAATATACCCGTGTACGCACGCACATACTGATAGCTCCAACCCCAGTTGGGTAAAATTCCAAATAATTACCCTGAATAATTTAGGGAAGTATAGAATAAAGGTTAATTAGGAACTAAGTTACCGACTACTTATTCACTATTCTAAGTGTATGACATGAATTGATTCTTAGTCTTCACAACAGTTCAATGAGATAGGCACATCATCGCCCCCATTTTGTGGGTTAGGAACCTGAGTAACAGCTTCCACTAATTATTCCTGGTCACATAGCCAGTAAGTGGCAGAGCTCTGAGGCCCATGCAGCCTGGATGATACACAGCGGGGACTCAACCACAGCACCATGCTGCCCATAAAAGAGAGTTGAGTTATAGTAGATTGAGATGGAGACAGAAATTTCTTTTTTATTTTTAAAGATTTTATTTATTTATTTGACACAGAGAGAGAGACGTGAGAGAGGGAACACAAGCAGGGGGAGTGGGAGAGGGAGAAGCAGGCTTCCCATGAGCAGGGAGCCCGACGTGGGGTTCGATCCCAGGACCCTGGGATCATGACCTGAGCCGAAGGCAGACGCTTAACGACTGAGCCACCCGGGCGCCCGAGACAGAAATTTCTTAAAGAGCAGGATGGATTAAGAAAAGATTGTAAAGAATCTAAAATATGATCAAGTTTTAAAATCAATATTAGAAATAGCAACCAGTAGATCTAACAAAGCAGGAGAACACATTCAGCAATGTGGAAGACCACTGAAGACTCTTCCCAAATGGGGGGATAAGGAACAAAGACACATATGACGAGGGGAGAGATGATTACATGGATGACATGGAATTGAGAGTCATCATGCAGATTTATTTCTCTCTCTGTAGAAAAGATTATGATAAATTGAACGAATCAGTAAGAATGTAAGAGAAGAAAATTCCTGTGCTAAAGGAACATCTGAGCCTGTATAAATGACATTATACACTGGGCAAATGGAGTGAAAAAAGAACAAGACCAAGTGGAAACTTCTAGTGAGATTTTTTAAATTTCATTTTAAAAGATGTAGAAAGGGGCACCTGGGTGGCTCAGTCGTTAAGCGACTGCCTTCGGCTCAGGTCATGATCCCTGGGTCCTGGATCAAGCCCTGCATCAGGCTCCCTGCTCCGCAGGAAGCCTGCTTCTCCCTCTCCCACTCCCCCTGCTTGCGTTCCTTCTCTCGCTGCGTCTCTCTCTGTCAAATAAATAAATAAAATCTTAAAAAAAAAAAAGATATAGAAATAATTCTAAGAGAAAATTATTTAGAGAGTCCTTGTATCTCTCATGTGAACTTCCTCTAAAATTTTGCTTAAAGGTCTACTTCAGGCAAAGTACAGATAAAACGAAGAAGTAAGAAACTGAGAGGTGAATAAAATGACCACCCATAAGCATTAAAACCAGTCAGACATCGAACAAATTTTATGCAAATATGGTTTTTAAACAATGCAAATATAAACATTAGATACTTTCTCAATTAAAAGTTTAAAGATGTATTCAAAGGGAACCACAGATGAATTGAAACAAAGAACTCCAAATTTCAGCCTTGAAACCTCTGGCCCCTCAGGCTATTTCAGAGACTTTGTTCCTAGAGTCCCCTTTCCCTGGATCATTCTTCCACTCTCTCCGCTCTCCCTTCCTTACTAGGTTAGCTCATTCCTAGGTTTCAGGCTGAATGTCAGCTTTTCTCAGAAATTGTTCCAGCCCCACCACAGCACTTGTCACGTGTAAGGGTTTGCCTCACCCACTCTGCTTAAGCTTCAGGAGAATTGGTGTCTATCTCCTGACTGTATCATGGCCATTGCCTCACACAGCACCTGCAATGTTCTTGGTATTTAATCAAGATTTGTTAAATGAGTGAATGGATAATTGATTGAATGAGATATGCACTCTTCAAACCCTATAGAAGAATTTTTAAAAATCATCTTCAAATCAACATCAACATGTTACAGGTGAATAACAAATTGTTATATTTGCAGATATGTATTTTCAGAACAAAAATTACTATTTTATGACTCTAGTTCTCTTAAACATAGTTTTAACACATATGAACAAAACACAGATAACAGTGCAATAATTTTAGATTCTATGATTCCAAAATCAAGTGATTCCTTCTAAATTTATACTGAAGTCTGTGATTATCTCTAAAATTCAATTCTCTTGATAGAACTTCTTCAAATTAGAACCTGTAAATGCTTATCCTCTATAAACTCTTTCCTATATTGCTTAGAAATTCTGATCACATTTTATCAGATTTTACTCCCAGATACACCAAATTCCAATTAATAGAATTTCTGTTATTCTAATATCCAAAGCCAGAATTAAGTGAGGGATCCAACTTATATTTAAAAGTTTTGGTGGAGTGCCTAGGTGGCTCAGTTGGGTAAACGTCCAACTCTTTGATTTTGGCTCAGGTCATGATCTCAGGGTCGTGAGATCGAGCCCTGCATTGGGCTCTGTGCTTAGCAGGAAATGAAAAGATTGCATGAAATGGACTCAGAGGTTCTGTAATCATACCAAACTTTGCTTTGTGCTCTTATTTCACCTCTTCCCTCTTGCCAGTTCCCCAGGGCATCTACTTTATATGCCGGCTTTATTTTTTCAACAAGTATTTATTGAGTGGCCACTATGTGCCAGGAAGCTTGCTAGGCACTAGAAATATAGAAGTTTAGGAAAAATATGGTTCTTGTTCACATAAACCTTACAGCTTAGTGCACAAGATGGACATTCAGCAATCAGAAGTTTTATACATTGTGATGATCTTGAGAAGGAAAAACCTCATCTTGCTCTTTGGGTTATAACAGGTGACCTAATTTAGATTGGAGGCATCAAGGAGACCACATGAAAAAGTTGCATTTAAAGTGAGGAATAGAAGGAAGCTCATCCCAGGCTTCCGAGGGTACAGCACAGAATATGGAATAGCCCTGAGGAGGCAGAGGTGGACAGGTTCAAGGAACTGAAAGAAAAACAACGTGGCTGAGGTATTGCATGTAAAGGGTGTAGGCATGAGTGACAGGGTCTTCCCTAGACCATTGGGGATGTTGGATTTTATTGTATGTGCAGGGAGTTCACTGGGTAGGGACACTGACCCCGAAGTTAGAATACCACTCCACCATTCACTAGCTCTGTGATCTTGAGCAGTTTCTTCATTTAGAAGATTAGATAAATCTATGTAAATAAAGCACTAAGAACAGTGCCCACTGCAGGGCACTATGCAGTGTTTGTTGTTTTTATTTGCATCATCCTTCCTGGCTTCAGGACACTGAACAGCTGAGAGGAAGGAGCACCTCACTCAAAACACTAGGATGGGTTTTGGGGCACATCTCTTCCTTTACACACTAGTTCTACAGTAAAGTGAGGGAATCTTAAAGGGAACTGTGATGACTGAATTGTTATACTAAAACAAAAAGGTACTCAGTGAACAGAAAGGTGCTCTTGAATCTTCTCTGATTTTTTAAAAAATATTTTATTTATTTATTTTAGAAAGAGAGGGAGCATGCATGGGGGGAGGGGGAGAGGGAGAGAATCTCAAGCAGACTCCCCACTGAGCACAGAGCCCCAGAGGGCTCGATCTCACAACCCTGAGATCATGACTATGATTTTTGAAATTAAGTGGATGTTGTGATATTGGAAAAACACTTAAGAATTCTTGCTTTGGAGGTGTCATCATTTAACTCAAGAAGATGAAAATGGCTTCCATCTAAGTTTTCTTTAAAATGCATATGCATTGAGTATACCATCATTTCTAGCTCTCTTTCCCCTTTCCCCAACAGGGAATCTTCTAGAACCTCTATAATCACCAAACTTTACTGTTTTTCTTTGCAATTTAGAAACCTCAGCAAGTAAACTTCTCATGTGAGTAACTAAGATCTGCAAACAAAAAACAAAGCTTTAGTTAAAAATCAACTGTTTCAATGGAGGACGTCCTATGCTTTACTTTTGTCCACTGTCCTTTGTTTCAATTCTTTTTTTTTAAGATTTTATTTATTTATCAGAGAGAGAGAGACAGAGGCAGGCAGAGGGAGGAGCAGGTTCCTTGCTGAGCAAGGAGCCCGATGTGGGACTCGAGCCCAATGTGGGACTCGATCCCAGGACCCTGGGATCATGACCTGATCCTTTGCTTCAATTCTTAATTTTGCAAGGATCTCTTGGAGTTTTAATATGTCTTTTCTTTTCATCAAATGAAAACTCAAACTTAATGTTCTTAAATTTGCCTACATTTTCATATAATAATTATCTCTTATTTCACGATTCCAGTACATGGCACTGAGGACACAAAAAAGTAGTAAGACCTGAGTTATCCCCTTAAAAAGAAGATGGTAAGCGATGAACAAGCAAACACAGTGGAGGAACTAGGAGGAAAAAAAATTAAAGGCTGGGAAGCACAGACGAGGATAAAATATCAATGGATAAAAGGGAAATCAGAGTAGTAAACACCAGACACTACTGTATAAAGTTAATTTGTAACTTTAAGTTCACTGATGTTCCCCAGGGATATAGTTTATCAATAGATGGTTTAATGGGATGGTTTATCTCTAGACTAAAATAGCAGTACTTCATTAAAATTAAAATGATAAGAGTTTATAAATTTAAGTCATTCATTCATTTATCTACTGTCCATTTCCAGCTTCTCCTAGGACATTGAAATGGGGTCTAATTTGCTAACAGGCTGTTTTTTGTTTGGTTGGTTTTGGGTTTTTTTTTTTAAGATTTTATTTATTTATTTGACAGAGAGAGACACAGCGAAAGAAGGAACACAAGCAGGGGGAGTGGGAGAGGGAGAAGCAGGCTTCCCATGAGCAGGGAGCCCGATGTGGGGCTCGATCCCAGGACCCTGGGATCATGACCTGAGCCGAAGGCAGACGCTTAATGACTGAGCCACCCAGGCGCCCCGCTAACAGGCTGTTTTAACAAGGATACAAACTGGATTCTCTGAAAGTGTTCCACATTTTATTTCCCCCTATAAACATTTACTTAATGGGCTTTTGAAATGAAGAGTCCTTTTCAAGCTTCTCTATTTCTCTTTCTGCATTTTTCCTATGAGATAAATAAGCTTTTCTCTGATTATGGATAGATCCTACAAAACCTCAGTCCCATTAATAGCTGTCCCTCTGCCATCAAGCATGGCAACATAATGACAAACCCGGTGATGCATTAAGCTACAGAAAACAAAATGAGAAATGTGAGAAAGTGGAAAACAAAGACCAAAAAAAATTTTAGTTAAAAATTGTGCTGCTGCATTACTTACAAGGGATTTAACAGTTAATATGGGAACATAAGTCCTCTTTTTAAGATGTTTATAATCTTGAATTAATACAAGTATAATTTCTTCATTAAATCATGGAGAAGCTAATGAGATAAAATCTTCAAGGGAAGTCAGAATAAACATTTTGGGGGTTGTGTCAGACACAAAGAAGTGTAACTTTGTTTTCTTTCACAATACACATGTAATATGTAGGTAAAATACTACAGACATAAAAGGTCCTCGCATTGTTTACTCCAGTCTTTTTCCCATGACCTATCAGACAGGATTCTGCGGGATATGTTTCCATATGGAATCATCTTAACTCCTTGGAGACGGCATGCCAAGTAAGAGCTTTGGTCAATGCTTTATAATGAATCATACTATCATTTTTCACTCTCTTAGTAATTCCCCTGTTCTCTGGTTATTTGCTTCCTCCTCCTGACCTACTACCAAGTGATCAGAACGTTGAAGTGGAGCTCTAACATAATGGATGTAAAGGGGGAAGAGTTTTAGGACCTTCCAGCTGCTTGAACATGTAAATGTTCACAGATATTCTGAAGCCCCAGAACTGAACCCATGTGCTAGCTCATTAAAGGGAGGGTATGTGCTTTCTGCATGGATCTCAGTGTCAGCCATGAATATGGATATGATCCCCAGCCCAGACTCTCCTAACAGCTATTGCTGTAATATGAGTCACCTAAAACCTTTGTAGAACAAAGTGAGAGGCACACTTTCTCTTGGTTTTAGCAGCAGTTTAATTATGCATCCTTTTTCTTTCTTTCCATGACACAGGGTTTTAACACTTACCCCAATAGCTGCTAAGATTGGGGCTTGGTAAATCCACTTGATGTTTCCAGCACTAAGTTCCCAGCATCTGAGACATGAAAAAAACTTTCATGAATAAATTGGCAAAGCAAATAGGCAGTGAGAATTAAGTAGCATTTTAAGTTTTACTGAACATTCCAGTCCCAAGCTTTTGATTAAAAAATAAGTAGACAAAAACAAATCTCATAAAACACTCAACCCAGTAAAAAAAAAAAAAAAAAAAAAAATGTGTAATGGGTCCTGGTTTCTGTACTATTAGCTATAGAGTATTATAAATATTGTTTATCTTTATAGCAATAAGATTCAAAACCACATTTCCAGAGCCACAAAAAATCACTCTCTTTTAAATGTGGTGCACATGGGGGCGCCTGAGTGGCTCAGTTGGTTGAGAGTCCCACTCTTGGTTTTGGCTTAGGGTTATGGGATAGATCCCCACGTCAGGCTCCCCGCTCAGTGGGGAATGTGCTTCCCCTGTCCCTGTCCCTCTGCCCCTCCCCCCCATTCTCTCTCTCTCTCTGAGATAATCCTAAATAAATAAATAAATAAATGTGGTGCACCTGATACTTCATTTTTCTTATCACTGGAAAGATAAAGTCCTCTTACTTCCAGAAGTTCCAGCGATTTTATGTTATACCTCCACATACTGTAGAATACTGACAATAATGCAAATCATTCTTATCCATCGAAATGCAATAGAAAGCTGACAGTAATGCAAATGATTCCTGTTGGTAGAAATGCAACAGAAAACTAGATGCAAATGGTTTTTGTGCATAGAAATGAAAACTAGTTGTGTTCAGTGGAATGTGATTGATCATTGCCTTATGAATACTGAATTGTTGCATGTATTTATAAATTTATTTCAGTATTCATTTTGCTAAACACAGGCATGTGATTTATTTCTTCTTTGAACAAGTTATAACATCTTACTGCTTCCCTCCATAATTAGTGAGTTAAAATATCTTTGACAAGTGCTCATTTTATATCTGCATAAAATCCATGATTTTATCTTTAACTTTAAAAGTTCATTTTTAACAGTACTTAATAAAAACACTATATAATTTACCTATTTGTTATGTTTATCTTCTGCTTCACTCCCATCCCAGCTAGAATTTAGTTTCTACATGAACAGGGATCATTGTTATTTTCTGATGTATTATAAGTGCCTAGAATAATACAGAACATATAGGTAGTCAACAAATATTTGTTGGATTGAACTGAATTCAAAATAAGTTTGATTCAATCTCACTCAAACTGGTTTGGAACAGTGTTGAGAAAAACTAGTTCCACTTGAAACTTTAATGTAGCACTTTAAGCAGTTTTTATACATTAAAGATACATAAATAAAAGCCTCAGTTTCTTTCTCCTTAGACAAAACCTAGCATTGATTGTGGGGACAATAAATGAAATTTTATAAAGAAATTTTAGGGATGGGACGCCTGGGTGGCTCAGTCATTAAGCATCTGCTTTCGGCTCAGGTCATGATCCCAGGATCCTGGGATCGCGCCCCACATGGGGCTCCTTGCTCCGTGGGAAGCCTGCTTCTCCCTCCCCTACTCCCCCTGCTTGTGTTCCCTCTCTCACTGTGTCTCTCTTTGTCAAATAAATAAATAAAAATCTTTTTAAAAAAAAGAAATTTTAGGGATATAATGATAATTATTTAATTTTAGATGATAAATTTATCAATAAGTTACTTTTAAATTAATGAACAAATTTGGGATAATAAAAAGCTATTTCAACTATTCCTTGAAGGTAGAACATTTTCAGTACATACGTAATGACTATATTATGTTTACATTTTAATATTTTTATGTAGGCAATACATTCTCATTTCAAAAATCAAACTGTATAAAAAGACAGTCATTGAGACATCTCAGTCCTTCCCATGTTCCTATCTTCCTCTGCCCCTGCCTCTCTCCTTATAGGTAACATCTTTTATTACTTTATTTTATATGCTTCCAGTGTTTTCTTATGCATATACAGATACAGATATTATAATCTTATTTTCCCTTACCCTACAAAAAATGCAATGTATACTCTGTTCTGCAACTGGCTCTTTCCTTTCAACAGGATATTCTTTATTCCTTTCCATATCAATACCAAGACTGCTCAGTACACAGCATTCCATTGGAAGGATGTACCACAGTTGAATCAACTAGACCTCAAAACCAAAGTGTAATTCTGGCCCCACCACATTGAAATCTGCAAAGTCAATGGACTTGAAGTTTGCATAACATGGAAATATCAAAGACAGGGAAAGTTTGCACTTGCACATTATTAAACATTTCCTAGCATTATTTGCACATGTCTATTCTTCACATTATTCAACCAGACAAGAAGGATAAAAGAGTGTTCCTGAGTTGTGCAGAACATCTATCACACTACTCTAAAAAGGTTTTCCACTATATGGAAAGTGGCATATTTTACTGTATGAATATAAATTGAATACAGATTCACTAGCTACGAGACTCCTGGATTCTGTAAATTTTCTTTTTGCTTTTACATTTGGTAGTATCTTCACAATCTTCTTTCTTTGCCTCAGTAACATTTCATCATTGTGTCTCCTAACACACTGCAACTCAATTGCACAATTCCAGCTCTGCAAAATACTTTGGAAATAGGTCAAAACCAGCTACCTCTAAAAACTAGAAAAACTTGCCTTTGATAGTTTTCAACATCAAAGCTTCAAATTTGCCCTTTGATATGAAAGGCAACTGAGATTTCAGATTCTTTTTTAAGAAAATGCTATTAATCCTTGTCTTTCATTAATTCTTCCCTGTCCCATCTCACACTGTGTTTGTTAACAAGGCTCAGAAACTACCCTCTATTCAGACTTTGTAAATGAAATTTTAACACTCTAGAAAATGGAGAAATGAATGTCAGTAAAAATGCAGTTGTGAAAGTTGAGGATGAGGCACAGAGGTCTGCCTAGAAAATAGAACTTTGTCAGTCAGGATTAGGAATAGGAAATGCATTATTCTGCAGGAGAGATCCAGGGAAATGAACACTGCATTGTGTCTGTAACTCACAATGTGAGAAGAGGAAGTACAGAAGCCCTGAGAGCCATGCAGATTTCCTAGAAATGACAGAGGCTATCTTTTCTTGGTCTTTTGTATTATGGGACCCACCCTTCCTGCTGGCATTCCATTTCCTTTGCATGAGCAGGGAGAAGGTGATAAGGTACCATATAGGGTGTTTTGCTTTTGCAAGTAAAAAGAAAGAGAAACAAAAATACCCACTTTTTAAAGCTCATTTGTCCAATTGAAACTATTCAACTTTCTTACCCTACCTTAGCCAAGTAACTTTTTTTAAAAATTTTTTTTTTTAAGATTTTATTTATTTGCGAGAGAGAGAATGAGAGACAGAGAGCATGAGAGGGAGGAGGGTCAGAGGGAGAAGCAGACTCCCTGCTGAGCAGGGAGCCTGATGTGGGACTCCATCCCGGGACTCGAGGATCATGACCTGAGCGGAAGGCAGTCGCTTAACCAACTGAGCGACCCAGGCGCTTTAGTCAAGTAACTTTTGATAGAATTTTAGAACTGTAATACTTCCTTTGTATATTCAATAGCATTTAGAGTGTCTTCCAAAGCTGGATCTGATTTGCTTAACTCTAAATGGCCAAGATGCAGAGAAAATCAGAGTTAGACTTTGAAAGGCCAAATCAGAAAAAGAAGAATCTCTAATATAAGAGATAGGACAGAGACCCCAAATTCCTTTGGAGATGCTCCAAGCTCTCTCTCTACCTGAACTTTGTGACAGAGGACTATATGTAGGTCAGATTACTATCAAGAAAACCCTCAAAAATGTAAAAGCAAAAAGAAAATTTACAGAATCCAGGAGTCTCGTAGCTAGTGAATCTAGAGACAAGCTGAATTCCATGAAAAATCAAATTAGGCAATTTTGAAATCATGCCATGTATGTGATAATACAGTTTTATTTTATATGCAAAATAAATATAAAATGACCGCTTAACCCAATTATCATGCTCAGATCAGGACACTATAGAATTCAAGATTTTATTCTGAGTTTGTAGGAATAAATGTTTTGTACAGAGGAGTCACATGATCTAACATATTTAATTTTTTTACATTAATTCAACTGTTTTAGAGCAATATTCAATGTCAGTTGAATTTTTTAAATATTATGTAGCAAAGGATTCTTTGCCTCAAAAATAAACTTTTTTCCTTGAAAAATAATAATTTTTTCCTTGAAAATACATATGACTATTAATGGTTTATGATTTAGTTTATAATTTTCAAGAAATAATACAAGATAACTAAGAAAACCAACTATCTAATTCAATATAAAATGCATTGTGAATATATTTGCTTGCATTCTGTGCTCAAGGCTTGGAATGTCAGTTGAATGGGTGAATGAGTCAAAATTGCTACAGGCTACGAAGATGCAACCTGATATCTCTGGGTCTCATTTTATTCATGTCTCAAATGAGGGGATTAAACCAAAAAATGCCTTAGGATTTACCTTCTCTAAAATTCCAAATCTAAGTTATATGGTTCCACATCTCAGGGTAAAATCATTTAGCATTATCTAGTACCTCTTTACAGACTCAACCCACCCCCCCCAAGAAATCAAATAGCAGACAGTATAAGTCTTCTTTGACATTTCCAGTATCATTGTACATGTATAGCAATGATGATAATGTTGATAACATTAACCCTAAATTATTAACATAATGTTTGTATAGAAGTTGGAGTTTATAAAGTCGTTTCATAAATGGGCTCTTACCTGATTTTCCAATCTACCCCCTGCAGACTCAATCTTATTCATAGCCACGAATATTCTCATTTTACCAACGGGAAGGCTGAGGCTGAGGGAAACTGCCACAATTAACGAATGGATGAGGAAATACATTTCCTAGTAACTCACAACTTGCACTGAGCCAAACTTTATCTTCGCTCAATAGACACTTAGCAAATAGAGGAAAGTGGCAAAATAGATCCATAAGAACTGATCAGCAAGCATTGGACAGTTCTCTACTGTAAAAACAGAGAATTTCACTCCTGCCCATTTGTAATTCATAGTTGTTGGTCTTTTAATCTGACAATTACACATGAAGTCAAGAGAAATAAGATCGTATGTAAGAAAGAGATAATTATGAAATCTACATACAAAATGCTACAGGAATTTGATAAAGAAGAGTTTACATGGGGGGAAAGAGCATTTGAAACACATGGAAGTGGCAGAGTACCTGTGGTTATGGCTTTACTTTCTGAACACCATGAAATGCAGATACAATTTTCTCATGTGAACGAGAAGAACATGTGCTAGTAGACAAGGTTGTATGTATGCTTACAGGCAATACGCATGCACAAGCTCGAGCTCCTATCTCGGTAAAAGCTGTGAACTACTGAAAAGTCCATGACAGGTGATGGACTATTTCTGATTAAGAGAATAGGAAGAACTACAAGTGGTAGAAGGACAAAGCATAGATATAATGAAGGTAAGAAAAACTGTCCAGTGTACAATGGGCATTGTCCACCGTGTACTCCTCATTATCAGGGGTGTTTAAGCAACTGAAGGGTGAGCAGCTGTCAGTGATACTGTAAAAGGAATCCCTCTATAACACTCCTCCTCCACAGAAAATAAATACCTCTGATTTTAATAGAAACCTCTAGTCTGCCCATAGTGTTTATTGAGTGCCTCTGGAGCCCAGCTGTCTAGACAAATTCCTTCTCTACCACTTGTGGCTGTGCAATGCCAGGTACACTTCTTCTGGCCTCAGTCTCATAGGGTTGATAGGAAGTCCAATTAAATTAATATTTGCAGAACCCTCAGAAAGTGGGATGTGGGTATCATTCAAAAATGCTAGCTTCATCTTTATTATTACTTTTCTCCAATTTTTCCTCCACATGCTGGTAATGATCTGTATAAAATGCAAATTTGTTGTCATTATCACTGAAAAATACCCCAACCATCCTAGTATGACCTATAAAGGTCTGGAAGCTCTGGCCCGCATCTCTTCTCCAGCCTCACTTTTAAGCTCTAACTTTAGCAGAATCAAGGCTCCACTGACTTGATAGGATAAACATCAAATCAGCTAGGATCAATGAAAGGGTAAGTCCTGCTTTCTGATGGAATAACAATAAACAAAAACATTATTTTTGATCAGACATTATGTATAGGTATAAATTAATGAAATAATTAAAGGACTAATACTTGCTACTAAGTACTTAGTACTTACTATTCCAAACCCTATAGTGTTTTATGTACATTATCTCATTCAATCTTACAACACCCCTATGAAGAGTAATATTCGTTTTATCTGCATTTGATCAATGAGAAAACCAAGGCTCAGAGAGGTCAGGTAGTGCACCTGTTGTCAGAGAACCAAGAAGTAGCAGAACAGGCCTGTGAGTTACCTGCACCTGAGCTCTTTCTCATCATGTTCCCAATTAGTGCCTACTAGCGACCAGGCTCTGTGCCATGTTTTGTCTGTATTAATGTCATTTATACATTATTATCACTGTTTTATATTAAGAAATGGACATACAAAGAGATCGTTTCTCATGGTCTCAAAACTAATAGCTGAACCCAAGATTTGAACTCAGGTCTGCCTAAGTCTAAAAAAGCATCTTTTACTATCACCCGGCATCACAGCCCTGTACCTTAAAATGCTGCTTTAGGGGTGCCTGGGCGGCTCAGTCAGGAAAGTGTCTGCCTTGGGTTCAGGTTGTGATCCCAAGATCCTGGGATTGAGCACCGTGTTGGGATTGAGTGCCACAGAGCAGGGAGACTGCTTCTTCTTCTCCCCCCCGCTTGTGTTCTCTCTCGCTGTCTCTGTCTCTCTCTCTCTCAAATAAATAAAATCTTTAAAAATAAATAAAATAAAATGCTGCTTTTGATAAGGAAAATCTGAGTCCTAAGATGGCTGACCGAGCCAGCAAGAGAGTCCCAGTCCTTTCTCGGCGCTCTTCCAGGTTCTTCTCCCTGCTCTGCTTCCCACGCACACCAATCCAGGCCCTTCTCCCTGCCCCGCTTTGTGCACGCACCAGAAGTGCCAAGTATGCAAAAGTAGAAGTGTATAAATTGCCCCTTTTGTGCTCGGGGCTCAGACCTTTGGAGATCACTCTCCTCTGAGCCCACCGGCATCAAATAAACCTCCTATCCTCCAAGATCTCCGGGTGCCGCTTGGTTCTTCCGTCAGGCAATACAGTCCAGGTTCCATAACACTTTAAATTAACCCCAGGCTACTTGAAAATCCTAGTGAATCACTAGGATGGATTCCACTTCTAATGTGCATTTGTTTTATTTTTTGAAAACATTTAATTTTGCTATAGAAGACAAAAAAAATGGGATGGATGAAACCCATAGTTTGTATCAAATTCAAATAAGTAGGTAATAAGTGGACCCCATGCATGTTAAACATAAGTATAACTGGGCACTAAATATTCATGATACACCTGGGGTGCCTGGGTGGCTCAGTTGGTTAAGCCTCAACTCTTGGTTTCGGCTCAGGTCATGACCTCAGGGCCGTAAGATCAAGCCTTGCACTGGGCTCCGTGTTCAGCACCTAGTCAGCTTGAGATTCTCTCTCCCTCTCCCCCCACTTGCACTCTCTATCTCTCTAAAATAAATAAATAAAACCTTAATAAATAAATAAACACTCATTATACACCAAATATATGAGGCACAAAATATTCCCTGATACACAGGAAGTGCTCAATATTCTTGACATCTTAATTCAGCCACTGATTGGTGAAACCCGTGCCCACATATCCCGTGCCCAAGGAACACAAATAAAACCCAAAGCTGTTTAGCAGGCTAACTGGTAAGCTATAGCTATGACCAGGCATACCTGCCTCCCATCAGTATGAGAAAGGAAATGTGTGTCACTGGCCCAAGGCACCTTCTGGCTGTGGGTCTCCTTGCTGCAACCTCATCTCTGGTCTTCACAGCCACACCGTCAAGTGGGGAAAGCTGATGTGGCACAGATCTCAATATTGCCCATCCTGGGACTCAGGTGGTGTGGGTCCTGCCACAGGCTTCCGTCATATCCCGTGTGTTAACTTACCCATCTCTTTCTCCTTGCTTCTTACAATATATTTTAAAATGGTATTATAAACTAAAGAGGTCAAGCATCCTAATCTGGTCAGTGAGTCTTTCTGTCCCATGACCTCTGCATGGATAGCTTGCTGATAATGTATCGCAGGCTACAATCACATCAAGGTAACTTTCTACATGACATCCCTGAGGGGACATGTAATCAACAGTAGCAGCAAGTGTCAATTCCAGGCAGGAAGCCTGAGTCTTGAGAAAATCTGAGGTGCTCTCCTTACCTCTCCTTTTTCACTCACCTTGCATCAGCCAGAGTTGCCCGTGCGACAGCCCAGGCCACAACAAATGCAGCTGGGAACCCTGCGATCAAAAAGAGATTCAGAAACTGTATTTACTGTAAGATGAAGGGAATTTTTAATCTCATACTCTGCACACATAAGAATATACTATTAAAAGTTGAGAGAGGGGCGCCTGGGTGGCTCAGTTGGTTAAGCGACTGCCTTCGGCTCAGGTCATGATCCTGGAGTCCTGGGATGGAGTCCCGCATCGGGCTCCTGGCTCAGCGGGGAGCCTGCTTCTCCCTCTGACCCTATCCCCTCTCATGCTGTTTCTCTCTCTCTCTCTCTCAAATAAATAAATAAATAAATAAAATCTTTAAAAAAAAAAAGTTGAGAGAGAAAAACAGAAATGAAAAATGTTGATATCTCAACAAGAAATTCCACTTGGTTTTCATCTTGTCCACTCAAAAAATGAGCCAGGTACATTGTTGTCATTTGTTCCTAAAAGTCTAAAGGTAGAAGGTTGGCCCAATTTTACCCTGAGGGATGTAGGATCAAGCTACACTGGAGGGGAAGGAAGATCTTGGGGCCAGAAGCAAGCAGCGGCTGGAGCACTGGGCTTTGACTCTTGCCACACTGACAGCTACATGCTTTCAGGAAGGAGTGAAGCAACATGACAGACTTCATGAGGAGCAGCAGGGAGGCTGATGTCATATAAAAAATTAGAACTTAGCCATTCTAAAAATGCAAGCCATAGAGAAGCTATGCTGAGAAGTTATAAAATTGGGAAGTTTTAATCAGTTTAGCCTCTTCTTTTTGGGGGGTTCATATTGGCTCAAGACAAGCATTTGCATGCATTTAGACCATAGGGAAGGGTGGCCGCTATGTGATTTTGGTGATTTGAGTGTGAGATATGCATCCCTCATAAATGTTAAACACCTCGTGAGCTTGCAATGTCAAATCCATTACACTGACTTTCCACGAGTCTGAAAAGGCTACCCACGGTAAAGGCTGACTGTTCAGTTCATGTTATAGTTGATTGGACTCTGACATCACCCACAAAAAATCACAAATCATAACTTTTATGGAACACAACAAAACAGGACCAAAGGATTTAATGGACAACTTCTCATTCTGTGGAATTTATGAAAGTGGTTTAAAGAAAGGAAAGAGAGAGCATAATGGACACACTGCAGAAGTTAAGAAGCACCTTAAAAGGGAGAGAAAAAGTTTTAATCTAACTTAGAACATTTTTTATTAAGCACAATATTAAATTCTTTACTTTTAAAAACACATTTGTAATTTTTCAAATATTCTTTTTTTGGAAAAAAAGTGAAAAAGAATAGGTTCAGATGAAGAAAAACAATATTAAAAGTGAAAATAAGATGATACACTGCAATAGAAAATTTTTTGGCTCCCTCAGTGATCATCTAATTGAATCTAGCCTCAGCCTGACTGTGTGCCCACTTAATTTCATGATTCCACATTCGAATTTTATTTACTGTTTGCATAGAACATCTAAATTTCAAACATCATAAAAAAATATGTTCGAATTCTATGTTCCAGGAAACTGTTTTTGTCAAAATAGATCTACCAATTCTGGTTATTTCTTAGGTTCAGTTCACATATTTTATCTATCTTTCTATCCATCTACGTATCTACCCACCTACCTATCCATCCATCCATCTATCATGTAACCATTTATTAAGTGCCCACGTATATGTCAAGGATTGTTCTAGTTTCAGAAGATAAAACAATAAACAGATCAACACTATCCCTGTTTTTCTGAAGCATATTCTGGAAGGAGATATAAAATTAATAACATAACTTTGGTTCAACCAGCGCTATGAATTAAAAACAAGAATGATGCTGAATAATGGGGTAGAGCTCCTTCTGACAGGGTGGTTCAAAAAGGCCTGAGGTAGCTCCCATTACTGTTCTGCTGCCTTGGCTATCTTTAAAAAGTATCTGTCTTTGATCAGAACTTTCACATTTTCTCATTTCCAGGTCTTTATCTTTTGCTTCCTTTACAATCTCCCAATCAAGCAATTTCCTGAATGATGTTCTATACACATTGATCAATGGTGCTTGAGTTGGAATTCTGTTTTAGATAATAATATAACAAACAACTTATATCAGATACCATGTCTTAATAAAATTACTTTTCTCATCATCTTGGAAGACTCTCACTCACAACACTAGCACAGAGGCAACCACGGAGGAAAAAGAATTAAAACCACTCTGGGATGTAAGGATTTTGCATCACCAGTCTTAGTATCATATTATTATATAATTTAGAACACATAAATACAGGGGAAAATGTTTGAGATTTAGATGTTATTTTAAGTCCAAGTGCTAATGTAAGTAAATTTAATGTAAATTTGAATGTCACTCAATATATGCATTTACCTTGAGAGCTATCTTCATAAAATGTCAGTATAAATAAGAGACATCTGAGAGGGAGGCAATCTCTAGTCTAAAAATAAGTAGATATGGGTACTCATGTAGCTCCATTACTACTCTCCTTTGAAATGAAGTTTTGGACTAACTAATAGTAGTCAAAATGTTTTAGCAATTAAACCCTTCCTTCAAATAAAAACTTATGCAGCAACCCACTGCATAAGACAGAGATGCTTTGAAGTTATAGAGGGTAAAAAGGATGTTCTCATCTTGGCCTATGTAGTTTCATCTTGTTTTAGATATTTTAGAAGCTTCATAAAACCATACCTCAGCCTTACCCTCCTCCAGTGGTCCTACTGTAGTATTGTAAAATCACAGGTTGACCATAAAGAGTAAAGTTAGTTCTAAAAATTAGAGACCCATCATGACATAGGATGCCTAGCTTTGCTACAGACATACTGTGTATCTTACCAACCAGAAACCTTGATGCCCCTAGGAATCCATCTATGGTGACTGCTCAGACATGAAGCTCTAGGCTATGCTTCCAGTTCCCTCACTACTCATCATAGAATGCTGGAATTCAATACCCATCACCTATGTTTCATCCTTTAAGGAACCAAGAAGTACCTCCATATGATTTTGGCAGAATTGTTCTCAACTTTCATGGGACTCTAAGCCAATACTGAATGAGTACAACTCTCTTTCAGGAAAATTGCAAAGCCTATGAAAGTCTTCCATTGCTACAAAGAAGATGTCAATTTATGAAACTTTAGAAGAGCTACCTCCTCCTGAGATGGAATTGCTACAGGAAACAAAAGAAATATTTTAAAAACATATCTAATTTATAGTCCAAAAAAATGTTCTAGAAGAAGAGTAAGGCACTGTGGGAAAGGACCAATCTGAAACAGAAGAGCTACAATAAAAAAGAAAATATGTTTACTGAATTAAATATTGCCAGGGGGCAGAAACTTAAAAGATCAAATTGATGGAGATGAAGTGAAATTTCGAAACCAGGTGAACTCACTGAGATAAATCTACATAACTGCTACAAATGTAAATCTAAATGTGACTATAATTTGTTTTCTTTTAAAGAGGTAATAATCTATATAATCTTAAATAGTTAGGAGTAAAACTCCAAATTACATCTAAAAAGATTGGGGAAAATGATAAGCAGAGAGATTCAAATTCTGTATTTTTCATAAAGTAGGGTTAAAATATCGATCTTTTATTGACTCTAATTGTTGAATATAATTTTAACTTTAAGGCAACATTCAGTAGAACTAGTAATGGCATTAAAAATCATAAGGAAAGGGAGAAATAGCTTTTCTAGGTTTTTAAATTTTGCTTGAAGCCAGTTGAAGATTTTTAACTGTGTAAAGGTATTATATTGGCTATTCTAAACAATTTTTTGGAGAACAGATCTTATAAATTAAATATTTTGAATATAATATGTATGATCAGAACAGGCAAACACAAAACAAAATAACCTACTGGGTCAGACTGCATGTTTATTGTGTGCAGAGACTTCAACACATATCTCTGTATTTCAATTATATTTACTGCCAATGGGATAATCAAAAAATATTTGCTGAATTGAGATCACCTGATAAAAGATAATAAAACTGGAAATGTATAATCTTTTCCTGATTATTTTCAGAGAATACAGAATGTGAAAATATTCTACAAGAAAGCTTGGCAACGGAGACATGACTACATGATATAATCAGGATAGGTGATCTCATATGATAATATGTACATTCTGGCATCTTATTTGACAGCTGAAACTTAAGAATGGTTGCTAATATAGAGGCAAATTACCACATTAGGAATCAAGAAATAAGACTGACACCTTATAAATATAGAATTAAATATATAGAAAAAATAATATGTACTTGGAAGAAAATGGAACCAAGAATAAAGTGCCTTATTTATGAGAAAATTGAGGCAAGAAGAGGGAAAATTAAGAATGTGGTTGGTTGAAAGAAAACTATAGTCATCATTGGAATTTGCCTTTACTCTTCTATACATCTTGTTTGGGGATGAAGATGTGTAAAAACAGTTATTTTAAACATTTGCCTTCAATTTACTAAGAGTCAGTAACATTTAGATTGTAATTTCCTCTTTAGATTGTAATTTCCTTCCCTTCCAATTTATTCTCAAGAATCAGCAAAATCAATGTAAATAATATAGCTCCACACATCACTATAAGGTGAGTAATAAAGTTCTATTTATTTAGCTGAAGAGAGCTTAAAGTTATCATGATTGGGTCCAATGAATAATAACAAAGGAATCCAAGTAAGTTCTCTTCTCTAGCTAAACTAATAAATCACATCATTGGAAGAAAATATGAAATTGGATTCACTCTAAATTACTCTAGCAAAGGATCATGCAAAGCAGCTATAATGTTTTTTGATCATTGATTTTCTTAATGGAATTTAGAAAAATGAGTCAGAAATCAAAATGATTCTAAAATCAGACTGTCAGTGCTAAGGGAAAAATAGTCTATTAATCAAATAGACTTAGGTATTTAATTCATTAAATAGTAGCTGCATTTAAGTAATGGAGGGATACTCTTTTTTTAAAGATTTTATTTATTTATTTGAGAAAGAGAGAAAGCATGCGTGCATGCACGCTCATGAGTGGGGGAAGGGTCAAGGGCAGAGGCAGAGAATCTCAAGCAGACTCTGAACTGAGCATGGAGCCTGATGCAGGGCTCGAGGAAGGACTCACCGGGGGCTCGACCTCACGACCCTGAGATCATGACCCTGAGATCATGACCTGAGCCGAAACCAAGAGTTGGATGCTTAACGGACTGAGCTACCCAGGCACCTCAGTAGTGGGGAGATATTCTTTAGAGAATATTACTATAGTTATAGACACCCTAGCCTAGAGAATTTTTTTTAGTGGAGTTGCAAACAAAGAATCAGAAGGTAGACCAAGTGTGGAACCATAATTCCATAAAGATTGGTTATTAGTGTTTTATATTGTGATTAAGTGTGTGTGGATATATCGCATGTAAAATGTTTTTCAAGGCAAGCTTCCATGGGAAGCCTACTTGCTTTCTTGTTTGTTCTTAAACCATTTGATGAAAAGAACACTTCAAGTAATGATGCTTCTACTGTAGTCATCATTCCAATGCTAAAGTTCTTGTCAACAAATCAGTAAATTTGTATAGGAAGGGAAGAAATTCATATGCATATAGAAGCTCACTGGACTTTTTTTTTCATTCTGTCTTTCATAGAAAGGTCTGAAAACTAGTTTCTCGGGTTTAAGTGAAACAAACTTCTGACTTTAAAGAGGAACCGACTGAGTGATAGAGGATGTGAAGAACAAAGGCAAAAGGAAATGTAGATAAAATTAAACTTCTTTATAACTTGCACCCCACTGACAAATACTTGAGGCAGGCAGAATATGACATTCCTCCAGGAACTCCCAACTGTCTTAATGTTAATGCCTTGCTAGAGGGAAAACACAACCTTAGCTTGACAATAGCTAGGCCCCCAGAATCCTGTAAATCTTCTTTAGCATATGAAAATCCTTTTGGAAACTTCCTTTGTCTTTACCTCCCCCAACTCCAAAGTATATAATCAATTTCAACTCACAATCCCAGAACTGCTCTGCCTAGAGGTCCTGTCCCCGAGCTTTAATAAAAGCACATTTTTGCACTGAAAAATGTCTCAAGAATTCCTTCTTGACCATTCACTCAGGAACCCCACTTCAAATCACATCAGTAGAGACCAAGTAAGAGTTCTGGAGGAGTTGGCTATCAAGCCACTAAGTACACAGAGAAAAAAAGAATTTATTATGTATGACCAGTGGTGTAGAAATCCAAAATATAAAATGTAACTCAGACAAATGTCTACATTCATTGTTGAATTTTCTATCAACACCTTTACCAACTTCTGGTAATTATGTTGGTGATGTAAGAAAGACGTTAAGGTTTGAAGCCAACGGCCAAGAAAGAATTCTTGAGACGTCTTTGGTGCAAAAAGGTGATTTTATTAAAGCACAGGGACAGGACCCATGGGCAGAAAGACCTGCACAGGGGTCATGAGGAGCGGCCCATTATATACTTTCAAGTTGGGAGGAGGTTAGGGATAGTGTAAGTCTCTAAGGAATTTTGGAAGCAAGGTTTCCAGGACCTTGAAGGGACTAGCTATTGTTGGGAAAAGGTCATTTATTACCGTCTAATAAAACCTTAGTCATGATACCTTCAGATGTATATCAGTGGGCCATATGCTTGGGGGATGATTACCAACACGTATCTTGGGGGGTTCAGAGGTAAAGGAAATTCCCAAAGGAATTTTTATACGTCAAAGTAGACTTAGAGGATCCTGGAGGATGAGGGGCTTAGGCTAGGATTGCCTTTTGCTCTTAGCAAAGTATTAACATTGAAGCAGTTGAGTCCCTAGGGGAATGTCACTCTGCCTGTTTTAAGGACTTGTCAATGGGCTGTAGGTAGTAAGGAAATTTAATAGTTTTTCTTCTGCCTTTGTTGCCCACATCACTGGTACACAGATATAATTTTGATTTGAAGGCAAACTACCAAAAACTATTCAGGAAATTTCCAAAGCACCCTAAAAAATAAAATATCCTTTTTATTTTTTTTATGTTTTTAGTAACTGCTAGTCAAAGGGAGAGCTTTAAAACAGACAAGCTGCCTTCAGAAATACAACTTTATTCACAATAATTTCATAATAAATGAAATATTACAGTAAATAGACCCTTTGTCTTCTAAAAGGTTACTCATTAACTAGCAGGAAATTCAATATTCCCTACTCCATATTTTCAAATGTTAAAAAAACAATATTAAAGCCAAGCAAGCAAAGAAATATTCTTATTTTGGAGGAGAAAAAAAAAACCTTCAAATTTAATCTTGAGCCACTCAGTTAATTTTTTTCTTATACTGAGCCCCTTATAATGTGGATATAAAAATAACAATGGAGATCTGCAATTGTTGATCATGAGGCTTCTTAATTGTAACCACATATGAGTTTCAATTTCTCTTAAATTTGAACAAGCAACATCCTTTCCCCATGTCATGTTGAGTTAGTGCCTAGTCCAGTGTAGTGCTGAGAAGGCATTTTTGGAATGTGAGCTAAATATCATTTTTTTTTAAATTACTTATGCAGAAAGCAATTTGAATTATTTCCTTCCAAAAGACATGGTAAGTCTACATAATTAGTTTGTAATTTGTATCATTAAATGAAGTCAAGATGGTCTTATAAATTCATTTCTGGTATTCTCATCATACAGCCTAAAAATACAAATCAACAATTCATCACTATAGCTTAGAAATTTAAAAATCAAAATATTTAGGATGAAATTATTGCTAAATCAGGACATTGACATAAGACATGAGCATAGCAGTTCTCAGTGTGTTCTCTTATATTTCCACCAAAGAATTCTCTCAAGAATCTGACCTAAGAACCCTAACCGTAAATTAAAGATGAAAAGTTTGTTACCACTGGGAGGATTTTAGACTTGATCTTAATAACCTTTCCCAATGAACAATGGAAGAGAAAGAAGGAGATATAAAGGTAAGATGGGGAGAGATTTCAGGAAAATAGCTGAAAGTATGCTAATGATAAGTGATATAGGAAAATGTTGGGGTTCAGAGCAAACACTCAAGATTGAGACTTCTTCCGTGCAAAAAGGTGGTTTTATGAAAGCACGGGGACAGGACCCGTGGGCAGAAAGAGCTGCCCCGGGGTTGTGACAGGTGTCTGATTGTACACTTTCAAGTTCGGAGGGGGTTAAGGCCAGGATGAGTCCCTAAGGAATTTTGGAAACAAGGTTTCCAGGACCCTGAGGGGTCTAGCTATTGTTAAGAAAAGGTCATTTATTTCTGTTTAGTAAAAACTCAGTCCTGAGACTCTTCAGATGAATATCAGTGGGCCATATGCTTGGAGGATGATTGCTAACATGTATCTTATGGGGTAGAGATAAAGAGTTCCTAGAGGAATGTCACTCTGCCTGTTTCAAGGACTTGTCAGTGGGCTGTAAGTAGTAAGGAAATTTAATTTTTTCTTTTGCCTTTGTTTCCCACATCAATAGGTTTAACAGAAATCCATAATCCAGTTTAAAGGGAAAGGAGACATAAATACCTTACCCCAGCCTATCAAGATGAAGCCCCAGAGGTATTTGGTGTCCGAAAAGAATGCCACAAAGATTAGACTATGCAGGTAGACACCTTCCACCAAGATCCAATAGTAATTTGTAGCCAGGAAGTAAATGAACATCACAACAGCAATCTTGCACCCAATCTGTTACAAATAAACCAGAATTGCATCATATTAGAACTCTTAATTATACTACATGCAACACACCATGAAAAAATAGTTCTGTATTTCTTTTTTATGATCTGTTTCCTGTATGTAGGAAAGCCAAGACTGTTGAATGAGACCAGAACAAAGTTATTTTAAGACAGCATCTCTAAGACTATGGGCTCGATTCTGTTCTTAAAATAAGATATTTTTCCTTTAGAAGTTACCAAAAAATCACTTTTCTTTGATTTTTCCTATTTATGAAAGTAATACTTGATCATCAGAGAAAATTAGAAAATACAGAACAGCATAAAGAAGAAAATATTAGCCATTATTCTACCATGATTTTATTTTATTCTCATCTTTCTTATGCCCCAAAAGTCAATGGCTAAAATAATAAGCATTTACTACATCTTATGAATCTATGCATTGGCTCAGTGATTCTGCTGATCTGGGCCAGCCTCTGCTAATCTTGGCTAGGCTCATTCACAGAATTCTACCCTTCACCAGCACACCATCACTTCCATTTCATTCTATGGGATAAAACAAGTCACCAAAACCAGCACAGAATCAGAATCAGCAGGGACTACAAAGTTACAGGGCAAAGGCCAAAGCCACAGAAAGGGCATTAATTCATACTATCAAGACATATAATCTATTATACTTAATTCCCAGATACAGCACATCAGTGATTTAATTAACTTAATTATTGAGTGATTCTATTTACTAAACAACACCAGGACATTTCAGAGTAGAATCAAGTACCCTGGAATCTTATATTGGAACAAGTCTGAATCTACAATAAAGAAGGTAAATGTTGTGGGCTTTAAAATAACACACTTCTGGTTTTGCAAGTGGGCTCTTTACTTCTGAACACGGTAAGCCATGAAAGCTAGTATGAGCTCCACATCAAATGCACTCCAGTCATGTGATTTTTGAAGTCCCCATGCCAGAATATTCTTATGGAAAGAGCTCAAGACTTTTAATAGTCTAAGATGATGAGTAATTAGGCATAAAGCTTAAGGACAGAATCGAGGTAGTAAATATCATTATATAAATTAGTCATCTATCTTGGTTAATTCAGAGATTACATAAACCAAAACAAGATAAGATTTAGTGGCCTGTAAAACTGTACTTGTCTGTAATGTTATAGGAATCAGTAATGAGAGAAAATGGTGAAAACACTTACATATTTTGATTTGTCCACAGAAGGCATTTCTATGGAATTTTGTAGGTCATCCTGCATCAACAGGGACTGCAGCTCCTTTACTCCTATGTGAGCATGGACCACTTTGTCCTTGACAAAGATGCTTACAGCTCTCAGCATGAAAGACACAAACAAGTGCATGTGGATATAGTTCCTAGTGCAATGCAATCGTCTATGGAGAGAAAATATTCAGTATTTAGATTTGGATGAAATTAGATATAGGTAAAGAAAATACATAAATGTAACAAAAAAGAAGAAAATATGGTAAGCCTGAACAAAGACAGAAACCCATTACTATCTATTTCCAGTTGAAACAACTGGGATCAAAAACTAAAATGTAACTTTTTGAGAAATAATTTCAAATTTAACCTGATCTACTACTATATTTATCCCGATTTTGCAGAGTTAACTATTGTGCTATATTAAACTAAAGCATTATACTAAAATATATATTAAAGTAATAATAAGTTATGACTACTGGAGAACCATTTTGATATTATTTAAAAATGGAGCTTTCAGGGGCATCTGGGTAGCTCAGTCAGTTAAGCGTCTGCCGTGGGCTCAGGTCATGATCCCAGGGTCCTAGGATCGAGTCCCACATTGGACTCTCTGCTTAGTGGGGAGTCTGCTTCTCCCTCTTGCCCTGTTTCTGCTCTATCTCCCTCTCTCTCTCTCTCTCACTTGCTCACTCTCTCTCAAATAAATAAAATCTTTTTTTTATTATTTTTTTTTTATTTATTTTTGAGAGAGAGAGAATGACAGAGAGAGAGAGAAGGAGAAGGGTGAGGGTCAGAGGGAGAAGCAGACTCCCTGCCGAGCAGGGAGCCCGATGTGGGACTCGATCCTGGGATTCCAGGATCATGACCTGAGCCGAAGGCAGTCGCTTAACCAACTGAGCCACCCAGGCGCCCAAGATCTTTTTTTTTTAAAGTGGAGCTTTCACATTTTCAACACATACTCTACAAGAAAAAGTAAATATTTTGATAACATTACACAACTTTATGTCTTAGTAATGTTAAAGAGTAAACAAGCTTACTTTAACATAAAAAGCTTGGGTTCATAAAAGAATCTTAGACACAAGTTAAACCATAACATACATAGGAGTAGATATAGTATTACTAATTTCCTGTACAAAAAGCTAACTCCAAAAGATATCTTTTCTTAAAAACACTCTTAAGAAAGGGTTGTAGAATCTGTCCCAGCTCTACCATTATTTGACTGCAAGACAGTACAACTTTCCTGTACAATGATCACCATATTACTACTTCTCTTCCAGAAAGGACAAAGTACATAAGTGTAAGAGAGTAAAAAAATTTTTAATCCAATAATATATTTTTACATTTCATAATATAGTAGGGGTAGGCCAACTGAGAATGAGCTAAATTTAGACATTTTGGAAATGTTATTTTGTTAGTATGGTGGGGACATGTATACGTGTCCATTCTGCCCAGACAATCCTCCTCATTAATCAATTCCCTTTGGGGAGTGTCTTCACAGGTGAGTGGGATTTGACCATATAGGGTTATCGGGTATCTGTGGAAATTATTGACTGTGAATAGCGCTATCACAGTATCTAAGTAGGTATTGATTTTTAGAAGACTCAACACTACTTACTGTCTTAATAAAAAACTATCTTGTTTTGTGAAACAGAAGAGTTTCTGAAATTTTTGTGTAACATTCTGCTATACAGTATAGTAGTTATATAAAAAGTATTATATAGAGGGATGCCTGGGTGGCTCAGTTGGTTAAGAGGCTGCCTTCGGCCCGGGTCGTGATCCCAGGGTCCTGGGATCGAGTCCCACATCAGGCTCCTTGCTCAGCAGGGAGCCTGCTTCTCCCTCTCTCTCCCTCTGCTTGTGCTTTCTCTGTCAAATAAATAAAATCTTTAAAAAAAAAAAGTATTATATAGAAAGAATTTGTTAAACAGAGTGATAAATTACTATGTAAATTGAAGAATTACTACTTAGTGATTTGTATCCTCCTGAAACCCTATGTAGCTTTTTTTCTCATAAATATTCATCTATTATTCTGAACAACCAGAGCTACACTTAGTATAATGTGATGAACTCTGGACAGGAATTGGAAGATGACAGTTCTGTTTCCAGCCATACCACCTATAACTTTGTGACCTTGGACGCTGAACTTCAGTTTCTTGGTCTGTAAAATAGGATAATACTGCCAAGCCAATTTCACAAGGCTCTCTTGAGGAACCCCTCCATAATTCCACAAATCTGTGTTCCCCTTCTCCTTTAAAAACTTCATTATCTCCCTATTCTCTACCATTACAAGATAAAATTCAAAGCCTTTGACAAAGACCAGCAAAACCAGTGCCACAAAATCTAGTTTCTTCCTAGTCATTCCTATATGGCCACTCCACCCTATGCATCAAATCATGCATTCACATGGGACTCTTCTATGTTCCCAGAGTCTACCCTGCTCCTCCCTACCTCTCAGTTTTGCACATTCTGTTCCCATCATCTGGAATATACTGAATTCCTTCTCATCATTGCAATATCAGTTCACATGTCAGTGTGTTCTGGGAAGTCTCTCTTATCTAGTCAGTTTTAGCCTCTTTGGTGTTCCCAAAACCCTTTATAAAAGACTGTATTAGGGCGCCTGGGTGGCTCAGTCGTTAAGCGTCTGCCTTCAGCTCAGGTCATGATCCCAGGGTCCTGGGATCGAGTCCCACATCGGGCTCCCTGCTTGGCAGGAAGCCTGCTTCTCCCTCTCCCACTCCCCCTGCTTGTGTTCCTGCTCTCGCTGTCTCTCTCTCTGTCAAATAAATAAAATCTTTAAAAAAAAAAAAAAGACTGTATTATAGTATTAACAATATTTTATTTGATAATCATTTAATGAGTCAGTCTCTCATATATACTGCTTTTCTAGTCTGTAACATATCTTAATTTGTCCTCCATCAATACTAAAAAGAGTCTATCATATATGGCAGAGAAAAAGCTTGTTGTGTCAATGGACTAGTGAATCAATAAAGAAAAAGTTTTGGATATATAAACTATACTGTCATAAGATGAGTAATTGCTTTAGAAGAAGTAGTTGGAATATTAAACTAGTCATTTATTTATTAATTCAACAAATATATATTAAGCATCACTATATATCAGGTACATTACAACCACTAAGAATGCTACAATGAGCAAAAAATAAATAAATAAATGTTCTCATGTGGCTTTACATTCTAGAGGGAGAGATAAAAAATAAAAAGAAAAGAAAAAGAAATAAACAATAAAAAGATAAGTAAAACATCAGATAGTACATTAGGTAGCGATAAATCCAAAGAGAAAAACAGCGAAAATAGGTATAAGAAATTTCGAGGAAGAGGGGATTGTAAGATGATAGGAAACAAAATATAAAACATTTTGTTTTTTAAATATGTCATCTACCCTCATTCCTTTTTCCACGCATAAGTTAGCACTAAATTCCTAAAATTGTATTGTCTTAATTAATATACCTCAAGATCTTCCCTTTCTATCCAATCCTCAAAGCCACTGCCCTTGGCCAGGCCACCATCTTCTTGTCCTGAGTTACTCTAACAGCCTCTTCCAAATGGGCTTCCTATCATGCCTCCCACCAACTCACACTCCACCTCACAGGTGACTTTCCTGTCACTTTTCTGCTTAAAATCCTTCAATGGCTCCTCATCACTCTTAGGGTAAAGTTCAAATTTCTTCATATAACCCACAGGTCTCAAAACACTCTCAACCCTGCTTACCACTCCAGTCTCACTGCCCATCACTTAGCTGCACCCAAACTCTGCTTTCTCAAATAGTCCATGCTTTTGATCTAAACTTAGGTTTGGAATTCTGCCCCCCAGTGTTCTCTTTTGGTTAAATCTTATTTACAGTCATGCATCTTTTGAGATTTCACTTCATCCCCATACTCTGCCTTCCCAATTACCATACACCACCTGAATCATACCATTTCTCACATTGTACACTGTTTTCTCAGCTATGTGTATCACAAGCCAGCTGCAAGCATCATGAGTACACATTTCCCATGCATGTTGTGCACTGTTTTTTGTTTTGTTTTGTTTTTAAAGATTTTATTTATTTATCCGACAGAGAGAGACACAGCGAGAGAGGGAACACAAGCGGGGGAGTGGGTGAGGGAGAAGCAGGCTTCCTTGCGAGCAGGGAGCCAGATGCGGGGCCCGATCCCAGCATCCTGGGATCGTGGCCTGAACCGAAGGCAGACACTTAATGACTGAGCCACCCAGGCACCCCATGTTGTGCACTGTTTTATCTCGATATTGGTGCTCAAAATTTTGTACTGATTTACATTAAATTGTATTGAATTGGGCAAAAGTTTCAGTGGATAAAAATAAACCATAACAGAAGCAATAAATACAACTTCTTTAGATACAATACCAGATCATTTGGGAGATTATTTAAAATGAATTTCTGTCCAATGGCACCAAAATCATTTGGGAAGAATGAAGTCTTTGCATCATGAATGAAAATCTTTGTAGCTCATTCTGCTCTACTCTGCAGCCCTTTGCAAACAAATACACTGTAGCGCAGGTCTATAGGCTTAATGGTTTCATACTGCTTTGATATTTTTAAAGATTTTTTTTTTTAGTTTTTAAACAACAATAATAAAAACCCTGAATTTCCTCATGAAAAATAAATTTTCAAAGCCAAATAATATTATAACACTAGGCTGAATTCAAAAACTTGTGCTGGGAAAAGTATTTGGGCCAGAAATTGTGAGACCTCAGCGTCTTCTATGCGTAGGACACAGAACCTGTCCCTTCATGGAGAAAGGGATTGGGAATCACTCACCTGAAGTAACCAATGATGAGAATAGCCACAGCCAAGGAACCAAAGGAGACCGAATATCCGATTGTGTACATGACATAGAGGCGTTCAAAGAATTCTTGCTGGAGGGGAAGAGATTTAATTAGAAAAATAGCTTTTAACAAGTAGATGTAGATAAAAATCATGCTTCTTCCTGTTTAGAGACAGGCAGTGTGTTACCACATTTATATAACATAGATTATTCATCCGGCCTTTCTTTTATTTCCTAAATTCCAGTCAGAGGGTTTGGGTTTTTTTTTAAGATTTTATTTATTTTTTTGAGACAGAGGGGGGGGGGCATGAACAGGAGGAAGGCACAAGGAGAAGCAGGCTCCCCGCTGAGCAGGGAGCCCCACACAGGACCCTGAGATCATGACCTAAGCCGAAGGCAGACACTTAACCAAATGAGCCACCCAGACACCCCTCAAGTCAGAGTTAAAGATGTAATAATAATAATAATATTCAGCATTTCTTGCTTGAGTGAAGTCAAATTAAATGTTGCAATATTTATTTCGTGAATTTTTGTGCTGTCCATTTTAATCAATGGGAATTGTATACCTAACGTGATAGTTGAAGTAAACAAAACGTGTTACAGGGCTATTGTAAGAGGAAACTAGTAAAAATAGTCTGTCATTTTTGGAATATTATTTCTAGTTTTCCTTAAGTTTTTTATTGAGCTGTAATTTACATGAAATAAAATATACAGGTCTTAAGTGAGCACTTTGATGGGCTTTGACAAGCCATGTTTGCCGTGCAACTTGCCAGCCAAAAAACCACCCACCATTCACTCCCAGGTAACTACTGTTCCAGTTTCTGTCATCACAAATTGGCATCACCTGTTCTTGTACTTCATGTACTTTTTGACTGTTCTTAGACTTCTTAGAATTAGATAGTATATACTTAGTATATACTCTTTTTGTCAACATACTGTTTTTGATATTCACCGATATTGTTACATGAATCAATGGTCCGTTCCTTTGTAATTTTCAAAAGAAATTATAAATTCACAAGAACTGGAAAAGATAGTAAAAAAGTGCCATTTATCCTTCACCCAGTATTCTCCAATGGTTACATCTTAACATAATTACACTAAAATATCAAAGGCAGAAATTTGACATGGTGCGCTTTGTGTGTTTATAGTTCTGTGTCATTTTATCACATATGTAAATTTTTGTAACCAGCACTGCAGTCAAGATACAGAACCATTGTACACACCTTCAAGACCCGCCTTGTGCTGTCCTTTAAAGTCACCCAGAGACCCCTCTTCCCCAGCATCCCTGACACCTAGCAACCATTAATGTTTTCTACCTCTATAATTTTGTCACTTCGTAAGTGTTATAGAAATGGAATCATACAGTATGTGACCTTTTGAGATTGGCTTTTTTCACTCACAATAATGACCTCAAGATACATTCAAGCTGTTGTATAGATCAAGTTTATTCTTTTTTATTGCTGAATAGTATTGCATGGTATGTATGTAACCTATGTATATCAGTATATATAAAATGTTTCAAACTTTGTAGACAGCTTACATTTGGGTCACATTTTTTTTTATAAAGATTTTATTTATTTATTTGCCAGAGAGAAAGAGAGAGAGCACAAGTAGGGGGAGCAGCAGGTAGAGGGAGAAGCAGGTTCCCCGCTGAGCAAGGAACCCAATGTGGGACTCGATCCCAGGACTCTGGGATCATGACCAGAGCTGAAGGCAGACGCTTAACCAACTGAGCCACCCAGGCATCCCTTGTTCACATTTTTTAATAAATTTTTCAATCTCTGTTAATTGGTATAATTAGACCATTTTTTAAAATATAATATTGATATGTTAAGGCTAAGTCCATCATTTTATTTTTTTATTTTCTATTGTTCTATTTTTCATTTCTCTGTTTAATTTTTCCTGCCACCCTGTGGGTTACTTGAACATTTTGTGGAATTCCATTTTGATGTCCCTTTTTGTATAATGCTTTTGGTGGTTGATCTATGTATTACATTGTACAGCTTAATGCAGAACCTTTGATTACTGAATGCTTACCTTTCTTCTTTTCTAATTAAGCTATAATTAAGCATATAGTTAAGCTATATTTAATCAAGCATATGATAAGCTATAAATCTCCTTCAAGCTCTGCTTTTGTTGTTTCCCCCAATTTTTTGATATATTCAACTTTCATAATTATTCAGTTCAAACTTTTGCCATGGATGGCATATATTCCAACAATTTGTGAATTGTCCACATATTTTATTTCAACTGATCTTCAATTAATTCTTTTGTAGTCAGAAAATACACTCTGTGTGATTTTAATCTTGAGGTTTATTGACACTTGTTTATAGTCCAGCATATGTTCAATCTTGAAGAAGCTTTGATGTGTAATTTAAAAGAATGTGAATTTTGTAGTGTTTGTATTCTATAAGTGGCATTTTCGTCAAATTGTGTGAAAGGTTACCCTATGGAAGTTTTTGTCTAATTGTTTTACCAATTACTAAGAGAATGGTATTTTTATATATTTCAACGTGGTGGGATGTGACCATGTCTCCCTTTTGCTTTGACAATTTTTGCGTTATGCAATATGAAGCTCCTAAATGCATGCATATTTAGGATCATTATTTCTTTCTGGTAAATGGATTCTTTTACCACTCTGATATGTCCCTCCAACTTAGTAATACTCTGTCTTGAAGTCTACTTAGCCATTTCTTATGCTTAGGGTAAGCACTGCATATAACTCATCCACCCTTTTAATTTCAACAAATCTATTACCTTCACATTTATCTGTATCTTTATATTTAGAGTACATTTCTTGCAGACGGTATATACTTAAGTTACACATTTATTACCCATTCTGTCTTTTAAGTGATTGTTTAGTTCATTTACATTGAACACAATCATTGCTATGTTGGGCTTAAATATAACACATTGGTATTAGCATTCTATATGTCCAGTCTTTGTTCCTTTGTACCTACTTCTTACCTTTTATTTGGGGTGTGGTGTCAATTAAGTATTTCTTAATCTTGGGCACCTGGGTGGCTCAGTTGGTTAAGCAACTGCCTTCGGCTCAGGTCATGATCCCGGAGTCCTGGGATTGAGTCCCGCATCGGGCTCCCTGCTCGGCGGGGAGTCTGCTTCTCCCTCTGACCCTATCCCCTCTCATGCTGTTTCTCTCTCTCTCTCTCTTTCTCAAATAAATAAATAAATAAATAAAGTATTTCTTAATCTTTCACTTGTGTTAATTTTTAGAAATTATGCATCCTGAACTTATCAGAGCCTCCACTTAAATAATATTGAACTATTTCACAAACTACATAAAGAGTTTACAAATGTATATTCAATTTTGCTTCCCAGCCTTTGCCCTTTTAGATTTTGTCTACATAGTGCTCACTTCAGCAGCACATATAATAGATTTTGTCTACATAATTTATAAACCTTAGTAAGAGACTACTATGTTTGCTTTAAGCAGTCAATAGACTTTTAAATGAATTATAAAGATATAAAGATAGATATAAGTACGGTAGTAAATAAGGATGATAAGAATACAGTTTTGTTTATTATTTTAGCCTGTCATTTTTATTCATATATATATATATATATATATATGTATACATATATATATATACCCATTCTGGTTTCCTCATTCCTTCCTACTAATCTATGTTCCCATCTGGCATATTTCTCTTTGACCTAGAGAAGTTTCTTGAGCATTTCCTATACTAAAGGTATGATGAAGATGAATTCTGTCATATGTTTTCTGCCTGAAAAGTATCATTATTTTCCCTTTATCTTTATGCATATTATCACCTTAAAGATGTCATCCCATTATATTCCAGCCTCCGTTGTTTCCTGACTAAAAGGCAGACATCTTTTTTATTGCTGTTCCCTAATATGCCCTTTTTCTCTGTCCACTTTTAAGTTTTCTTTTGACTGTGACTTACAGCAGTTTAACTATGATATATCTAAGTATGATTTTCTTTTAATTTATCCTGCCTTGGGTTTGCTAAATTTCTGGAATGTATAGGTTGATTTATTTCATCCACTTAGAAAATTCTTGGCCATTGTCTCCTCAGATATTTATTTTGTTCAATTCTCTCTCTTTACCTCTAATTTCACATGTGTTAGACAATTACATGTTGTCTCATAAGCCTCAGATGCTTCCGTTATTTTAATTTATTTTTTCTCCTAAGTAAATTAAAATATTTATTAATATTCAGTTGGAAAATTTCTATCGACCTCTCTTTAAGGGCATTAAATCTTTATCATGCTGTATCTAGTATGCTATTGAGCATATTAAATGAATTCTTCATTTTGGAATTGAATATTTCAATTTTAGAATTTCCATTTTATTATTTTTTGAAGTTTTTCTCTGATTTTCCCATCTGTTTTATGTACCTTTTTCACCAAATCATCTAACATATTAATAATAGTTATTATTAAGTACTTATCTGCAAATTCTAACATCTGGATCATCTAGTTTTTTCTGCTCTTATTTTTACTCCAGATTTCAGGTCCCTGCCTTGCAATTTTGTATCACATTCCAGGCCCTGTAAGTAAAAGAACAGTAGAGACTAAAGTATATGATGTCAACTGCCTGAAAAGGCAGACCTCTTCCTCCGTCAGGTTTCTTGGGTAAGGAAGCTGGATTATTCTGTTGTTAAACTAAGTTGAGCTTTGTTGCAGTTTTTATTTTATGTTTTTTGTGATCCTGGTTTTGCGTTTTGAGAGCAGAATCAAGACTTGTACAGCTGACCTCGAGATTTTAGCACTAGCAGCCTCTAGTGGCCATTATGTGGATTTTAGTCCCCCTGACATTTTCCAAGCCATAGCACTATTGCTGCTATTTAAACTATCCATCAGTTTTTTGAGTTGCTAGGGATTTTACTTTGCTTTCCTGCCCCTCCCGGGCATGCGGGCTGTAGCAATCATGCACCATGCGCCTTAAAGTATGTCTCTCAGCTCCGCTGCTCTGTCCCATGACTTTGGCTAACTGCCGCCTTTCACTCTGAGAGTACTTTGCACCTCTTGGGAAATTTCTCTTAGCCCACCTGTGCTGTCCCCAGCCTCTGGCACATGGCCTCCACGCACTCAGTGAAGGCCACATGGGGAAAAACTGGCTGGTGGGTGATAGCTCACTGTGAATGGGGCTCACTACTTGGGATTCTAAGCCCGTATGCTAACCGTTGTCTGTTAAAAGATGGTTTAAGGGGCACCTAGGTGGCACAGTTGGTTAAGCAGTGACTCTTGGTTTCGGCGAAGGTCGTGATATCAGGGTCTTGGGGTCCAGCCACGCGTTTGGCTCAGCAGTCTGCTTCAGGATTCTCTCTCTCCCTCTGCACGCACCCCCCCCACCAGCTTGCTTATTCTCTCTCTCTCTCAAATAAATAAATAAATCTTAAAAAAAAAAAAAAAAAACTATTGGCTTAAGAGCCTGGCTCTTTTCTTTCTATCCCCTTCTATGACCTGGTTGTTCCTCTTCTGCTACAGACCCAGGGATTAATAGCAGTCATGGGTCTCTTCTCTTATAGGAAGGGCTTGCCCACTTCTAGACTTAGGATCGTTTAGACTTCTTGGCATCCTCAGCTCACTGATGAGTTATTACAAATTACTGATTTTGCATCTTACTCAGTTACTTTTCCTAACTGAAAGCAAAAGATTTTGCCTCTTGTTCCTTTAAAAAAAACTGTTTACTACATATTCTTATCAGTTAATAAAATACTAAAACTTTTTATAGAAAATATTTGGGGGCGCCTTGGTGGCTCAGTCAGTTAAGGGTCAGATTATTGGTCTCAGCTCAGGTCTTGATCTCAGGGTCACAAGTTCAGGCCCCATGTTGGGCTCCACGCTGGGTGTAGAGTCTACTGGAAAGAAGAAAGAAAAGAGAAAGAAGAAAGAAAGAAAGAAAGAAAGAAAGAAAGAAAGAAAGAAAGAAAGAAAGAAAGGAAGGAAGGAAGGAAGGAAGGAAGGAAGGAAGGAAGGAAGGAAGGAAGGAAGGAAGGAAGGAAAGAAAAGAAAGAAAGAAAAAGAAAAGAAAGAGAAAGAAAGAAAGAGAAAAAGAAAGAAAGAAAAGAAAGAAAGAAAGAAAAAGAAAGAAAGAAAGAAAGAAAGAAAGAAAGAAAGAAAGAAAGAAAGAAAGAAAGAAAAAGAAAGAAAGAAAGAAAGAAAGAAAGAAAGAAAGAAAGAAAGAAAGAAAGAAAGAAAGAAAGAAAAGAAAAGAGAAAATATTTGGATAATGTGTGAAACACAAAAGCGGGGGAGGATCTCCTGAATTCCTATCAACCAAAAAGAAACACTGTATTTCATTACCTGATTTTTTTTTTTTCTGTTAACTGTATAACAAAGGAATTTTCTAAGGCCACAAACTCTTTACAAAAAACATTTATATGAGTTTATTTAACCTTCTCTGGAAGGTTCTTCACTGGAAACTTAAATTCTTCAGAATAAACTTAAATTCTTCAGAATATTCACTATAAAAATCCATGGTCCAAAGAACATTTTGTCCACTCAATTCCCAACAATCCAAATCCTTATACTTGAATCTTAGAAGTAACTTTATAAGATCAAAGGATACGACCACTTTGAAGTTTTTTAAACACATATTGCTAAATTGCTTTGCAGAAGTTCATTTAACCTTTAAACATGAGATGGATTATATGGTAATTTCTACAGTATGCTGCTGTTTTAAATATAATACTCTAACAAATTTAATAACCTTATGGCCTATCAGAAGAGTTCTTTCCCATCTTTTTACTAAGAGTAACTGTCTCCTATAAAGAACTTATCAAACTCAAAACCCAAAGAACAAATAATCCAATCAAGAAATGGGCAGAAGACTGAACAGACATTTCTGCAAAGAAGACATCCAAATGGCCAACAGACACATGAAAAAGTGCTCAACATCACTAGGCATCAGGGAAATACAAATCAAAACCTCAATGAGATACCACCTCACACCAGTCAGAATGGCTAAAATTAACAAGTCAGGAAATGACAGATGTTGGCGGGGATGCGGAGAAAGGGGAACCCTCCTACACTGTTGGTGGGAATGCAAGCTGGTGCAGCCACTCTGGAAAACAGTATGGAGGTTCCTCAACATTTGAAAATAGAGCTACCCTATGACCCAGCAATTGCACAACAAGGTATTTATCCAAAGGATATAAACACTATATAGTGATTTGAAGGGGCACATGCACCCAGTTTTTATAGCAGAAATGTCCACAACAGACAAACTATGGAAAGAGCCCAGATGTCCATCGACAGGTGAATAAAGACGATATGGCGTATATACACAATGGAATATTACTCAGCCATCAAAAAGAATGAAATCTTGCCATTTGCAGTGATATGGATGGAACTAGATGGTACTATGCTAAGTGAAATAAGTCAATCAGAGAAAGACAATTATCATATGATCTCACTGATATGTGAAATTTAAGAAACAAGGCAGAGGATTATATGGAAAGAAAAGAAAAAATGAAACAAGATGAAACCAGAGAGGGAGACAAATCCTAAGAGACTCTTAATCTTAGGAAACAAACTGAGGGTTGCTGGAGGGGAGGAGGACTGGGGGGATGGGGTAACTGGGTGATGGACATTGGGAAGGGTATGTGTTGTAATGAGCACTGGGTATTATATAAGACTGATGAATCACAGAACCATACCCATGAAACAAATAATATATGTTAATTTAAAAAATAGTAATAAAATATGAAAGCTGAAAAATAAGTAAATAAAAGTAACTGTCTCATTTTGTCAAACCAACAATAAGGAAATTATTTAAGGAACAAGACAATAGATGTTTAAAAAATCTTAGTCTTATTTCCCCCCAATAAAGATGTTTATTCTCAATGCACACTTTTTTTGTTTTTTTTACTTCTTGTTGCTTTTATAAAAACTTTCATTACTGGGTGCCTGGGTGGCTCAGTCACTTAAGCATCTGCCTTTGGCTCAGGTCATGCTCCCGGGGTCCTGGGATCAAGCCCCAAAAGGGGGGGGTTCCCCGCTCAGCAGGCAGTCTGCTTTTCCCTCTGCTTCTGCTCTCTCTCTCAAATAAATAAATTTTTTAAATCTTAAGAAAGTCCTGATTAGGGGCGCCTGGGTGGCTCAGTCATTATGTGTCTGCCTTCAGCTTAGGTTGTGATCCCGGGGTCCTGGGATCAAGCCCAGCATCAGGTTCCCTGTTCCGGAGGAAGCCTGCTTCTCCCTTTCCCACTCCCCCTGCTTGTGTTTCCTCTCTCGCTGTCTTTCTCTCTGTCAAAAAATAAATAAATAAATCTTAAAAAAAAAAAAAAAGTCTTGATTATTAGTGCAAAATCAAAGAAATCTTCAACTCACTGCTTCCCTTACTGCTCTCCCTACTCCCCCTCTTTCCAAAAAAATCAAGCATGAAGAAAATTGCTGGTAGAGTTTATGTATGATAGACTGTTCTCAGGATCCCCATAAAAGCCACTTATACATCCATTTATCATATTAACTCCTAACATCATATGCATATATCATCATGTATTTTACTCACGAAGTCTGAGTGACAGGAATTTAAGCATGACTTAAAGCATCACCTATCACTTAAAAGTGACTATCTAGAAGTTTCCAACATTTACATATGATTGCTATACTGCAAATAGCACTGATGAGGAATTTGGAGATCAGGATTCAGCTTTAGATCCTGTCATCAGTGAGCTGGGTCACTCTAACACCTAATCTCTGGTTCTCAGTTTACTCATGTGTAAAATTAAGGTATCATCTGGAAGACCTATGGGATGCCCTTTGCTTCTCCTTGATTCTACAACTCTGATCTTTCATATACTAAAGAAATCACCTACTGGCCAATCTTATGAAATGACAAATACATCTTTATTTTTTTCAAGATTTTATTTATTTATTTGACAGAGAGAGACATAGCAAGAGAGGGAACACAAGCAGGGAGAGTGGGAGAGGGAGAAGCAGGCTTCCCGCTGAGCAGGGAGCCTGATGTGGGGTTTCATCCCAGGACCCTGGGATCATGACCTGAGCCGAAGGCAGATGCTTAACGACTGAGCCACCCAGGCGCCCCAACAAATACATCTTTAAAATACAAATCTCCTTTAGGAATATAGAGTGAAATGAGATGTAGCCATTCATAGGTAACAAAAAAGAAATCATAAATCATGTTGCTGACTACCTATTTTGATATTTAAGCAAAATATTTAATATAGCATAATATAATGTAAACATAATGTACTATAACATAATACACAAAGACACATACTTATAAGTATATATGCATATATCTTAGCCAGATAACTCTAACCTCAAGAAAATACCAGAATGTTTCAGGTCCTACACCATTCCTTAACTGGATAGCTAAAAAGATTCCAACCTTGTTTTTATCTTTTAGGACATTTGTGTCCTAGAATAAAGGGGTTTTTATATATAATAGTTGGCAATCAAGAAATGTATAAAAATACTATCCCATTTTCCTTGTGGGGTTCACAAATACAAAAAATTATCATTACCTTTCCTATGCTGATATCTGGATGCAGAAAACGAAGGCAGTCTGAATAATTAGCCCATGTTTTATTTAAACTGTACATAAAATCCCACGTTCCATTGAGGTTACAGTGTCGGAAAGCAACTCCTGTAAAGACATGAAGAAAAACACTGGATCTCTTGGCTTTCATGCCTTAGCCACCCAGCACTGTTCCAAATTAATCATTTCAGAAAAATTCAATACCTTTATGATTGAAGTCATAAATATAAGGAGGGCATGGGACTGCCAATATTTTCCCCACTGTTCCTCTGGGCCAACAAATGAGTCCATCCCATTCTGGGAAACAATTTCCCTCTAATAAAGAAAAAAATTAAAAAGCAAATAAACAAAAATGCAATTGGAACCAGACAGTAAACGTGCTCAAAATACAAAATTTTAGGTCTCCACCTGCAGCAAAATGTAAAACAAATTGGTAGTTGTGGAAACTAGAATGGGGTAGATACGATGCAAATGTCCTAAGATTCACCCATCTCACCTGGTCCATTAAGAGGAACATTTGATTTGCATAAGTTAAAAATATTTTAGTGATTCTGCTATATATGAGTGATAGCAATTAATACATAAGAAACATTGGAATTCAGGGCGCCTGGGTGGCTCAGTTGGTTAAGCGACTGCCTTCAGCTCAGGTCATGATCCCAGGGTCCTGGGATCGAGTCCCGCATCGGGCTCCCTGCTCTGCAGGGAGCCTGCTTCTCCCTCTCCCACTCCCCCTGCTTGTGTTCCCTCTCTCACTGCGTCTCTCAAATAAATAAATAAAATCTTTAAAAAAAAAAAAAGAAACATTGGAATTCATTGTGAACAACTGTAGTAAAATTCTATCATAGTCGTAGCTACATTTTTTACCCTAGATTTTAAAAACTTGCTGTTAAAAAATATGATACCTGAAACAGATAGAGCTTCCCAGGTAAGCTCCAAGATTTGAGTTTGCCTTTTTACCAATAATTCTTCTTTTTCTTTTTACCAATAATTCTTTTTTTTCTTTTTATCAATAATTCTAGTAATTTGAGTCTAACACTCATCTCAAACAAAATTCTCACAAGCTCTACTCTCCTCAAGAATCAAGTATAAAGATTTGGAGTGGGGGCAATTAACCAGCCAAAATGCATCCAGAACCCTAGCACTTCTCAAAACCTGCATTGCCACGCCCATGGCCCAAGCTTGTCAAACTATGATATTTACACAGAACAATCTAGAATTTGGAAACTCCAACTTTGTCTCTTTTCAGTTCTATAACTGAACTGATAATATAATGTAACCATAACACAGTGTAACCATACATTTGTGAAGAATAATATTTTGGGCTTTGTTTTTAACTACTTGAATCATTTTAAAACTAGGTATTTGCATTTACATTTCATTTTCTTTCATAGACATGAGGAAAAATTTTATTACAAAAATTTTTTCATAAATAAAGCAGAACATTGAATATATATATACACATACACATATCACCCAGAATTGACATTTGCTAATATTTTACCATATTTATTTCATCTAATTTATTTTTTGCTGAGGTATTTTAAAGTAAATTGCAGACAGCATAACCACTCACTCTTAAATATTTTGATACGCTTCTCTCAACCTTAAGGGAATTTAAAAGTGGAAATTTCTTAAATTAGCTAGTGAATTCAAAATGCCATTCTAGTTTTTTACACATAAATTAAAGAAAGTTTTCATTGAAAGGTAAATCTGGTCTTTCAGTTTCCATTCTTGCTCTCCTTTCATTCATTCACACAGTAAGCCAAAATCTTCCAAAGGCTTCCCATCTCACTCCCAGCAAAAGCCAAGTCTTTATAAAGCCTGAAAGCCCTGCAAGATCCGCTTTCCCCCATACTTATCTCCCTGACCTCAGTTCTGCGAAGGTCCTCCTAGCTCTCCCTTCAGTTCAGTGCGTTCACCAGATGGCTTAAGGTTTATTCCCCTCTGCCCTATAGACTTTTACTCACAGGTCACTTCTGAGTAAACTTTCCCCATTTATAGTTACCTTCAGAACACTCCTTACACCCCTTCCTTCTATACTTTTTACCTGAGCTCTCATTGCCTTCCAATAGCAAGTGTCATTTTATTATTGGTTTCTTAAACCACAGGGACCCTAAAGGTGGGGAATTTTGTCTGTTTTGTTCCATGCCTTAGCCACCCGGTACTTGGCAGGGGCTTAACAAATATTCAGAGTCAACACTGTGTGTTCTTTAGGACGGCTCTCCATTAGTTGTGTATTGAACTTCCAGGAAGAGAGCATATTCTGCGTTTCAAAATGAGATTGCTTTTAATGAGTGTTGTACTCATTTTTTCTATTGCTACCATAACAAATTACCACAAACGTAATGGCTTCATATAACCCAAACTTATCGTCTCACTATTTCTTTAAGTCGCAAGTCCAGTGAGTTCAGCTGGGACTGAGTTCCCCATTTCCTTGCTGGCGATCAACTTCTAGAAACCCCTTATATTCCTTGGTTTATGACTCCTTCCTTCCATCTTCAAAGTCAACAAGTCAAGGTGACCCTTCTCGTCAAGTCTCTCTTCCACTCTCCTTTTCCCCTCCTGATTCATCCACCGCATACACCACATGGGGCCCATCCAGATAATCCAGGGTAATTGCCCCATCTTAAGGCCTGTAATCCCACCTGCAGTGTCCCTGTGCTATGTAGCATAACATACACAGGCATAACACCAGGTAGGTAGGGTATGGACATCTTTGGGGACCCTTATTCTGCTACCACAAGTCCTATCCATTATAGCTCTCTCAATTTTTTTGTTACCAAGTACACTACTGCGGCTGAGGAGTTTTGCTCTAACTGATGTTCATGATGTCAAGTTGTTTGTTCAGTTTTGAATAGTCAGGCAAACCCTGATCTGTACAGAAAAGAATTCGGCATAAACCTGAAATTAACTTCTTAGTGTCCTCCATATCACATGGAAACAAACAACTCGATTTGCTTTGGGGGTTGCTGAAGCAATAAGAAAAAGAAAATGTCTTCCCTCACCCACACTGTTCTTAGAGAAGAGAACATTTTCTTGGAAACAGCCTCACTTTGCTCACATAATAAAAGCCTATACTTTACATATCACAAGCAACCCAGGAACCCATCACACTGACTCTTGCTTCTGGTGCACAGCTTCATGGCTTCTTTCCACCATTACCTATGTTTTGTTTTTGTTTCTCATTCAAACAGGGTGCAATGAATCAACCTCTTTCACCAACTTTACCCTAGACACTCTTCTGTATCTTACTACCATTCCATATGGCTTCACACCCACTCACTTTGTCTTTAACAAGTCATGCATCCTCATTTTATCTGTACTGTCCAATCCTTTACCAGATGTCTTTTGTGCATCTACGAAAATTGGACCTGGACACACATTCTTGTGTTCTGACAACTAGTTGTCCCCCTACAATGTATGCCGCAGGGGTGCCTGGGTGGCTCAGTCAGTTAAGCACCCAACTCTTGATTTTGACTCAGGTCATGATGTCCGGGTTGTGAGATTGAGACCCGTGCAGGGCTCCGCACTGAGCGTGGAGCCTGCTTGGGATTCTCTCTCTCCTTCTTCCTCTGTCCCTCCCACCACTTGTATTATCTCTGTCTCTAAAATAGATAGATGATAGATAGATGATGATAGATAGGTAGATGATAGATAAAATGTATGCTGCAATATCATGATATTTTCTGGCAAGAGTTAGTTACATGATGGAATAAGGTCTTCATACAAGTTTAAAACCCAATGACCATTTATTCTATAATTATGTAGTTTTTAAACTACCATGGAGACAAATCAGCTGATATTTTCCTCATGCTCTAAGGGGGACAGTTTCCTAGTTCCCTACAAGATACCACCCCACACACATACACACACACTCCCCAAAATTCAGAAAACCAACATTCCTCAAAAATAATGTTTCTGTAGATTGTGTTCATCTCTCTGGTGGCTCTTTGACAAAGAGAATAGTAAATATTCACAAACGTTGAAAGGATTGGGGAAGCCATGGCCTCACACAGCTCATACAGAGATCTTAATTAACATCTACTCTTTGATCACCATTTCACATCCTATGTGAGTAAATTCTTTCATCAGTTACCAAGAAACTAATTAATTGCCTGATGATTCACCAATCTCTCTTTATAAATTAACACCATTAATTACATTTCTTGTCATCTTTTGTGTGTGCCAGGACAAACTACTTATTAGTGAGGGCTTGTCACACCATGATCTTCACACAAAACAGTCTAAAATTTGGAAACTCCAACTTTGTCTCTTTCCAGTTCTATAGTTACCCATAATAGAGTGTAACCATACATTTGTGAAGTCAAACACAGGATCAATAATATTTTGGGTTTTGTTTTTAACTACTTGAATCATTTTGTAGCTAGGTATTTGCATTTATACTTCTTTCACTTTCATAGACATGAAGAAAATTTGTATTTTCTTTTTATTACAATTTTTTCATAAATAAAATAAAATATTATATATATATGGCACCTGGAATTGACACTTGCTCATATTTTGCCATATTATTTCATCTGATTTATTTTTTGAAGACACAAAGAGTAGGGTGAGAAGGTCCTACATTTGTTTAATTAGTGTTCCAGATGGAAAGACTAGGAGAATGGGAGAGAGCAAAGTTTCAGACAAAATAGCAAACCATTCCCACCAATGACTAAAGACACAGATTCTCAGACTTCAGAAATCAAATGAATCCATACCTAGAATCCATATCCATTTCCTGAGTGCAGATAAAACCGGAGAACATCAAATGCAAAGAAAAGCTCGTAAAAGGAGCCAGAGAGAAAAAACTAATCATCAACAAAGACTGAGTACTGATTTGTCACTAATAACAATGGAAGCTAGAGTAAAAGTGAAATAATATTCAGGTATGAAAAGTAAATAATTCTCTACCAAGCATCATATGTCCAGAAAAAGTATCTTTGAAGATTAAGACTGAAATAAACACCTTTTCAGACAAACACTGAGAGTGTTCACTGCAATCAACTTCTAATGTAAAGAAATCTTACAAAAAGACATACTTCATCTTGAAGAAAAATTATAACATATAATTAATATGAAACTATATGACTTTATTAATATAAAAT